TTCTCAGGGCTAAGTCATTAGCTTCATGAGGGTCTTGCTCTCTGCCAGCCCTCATGTTGGGAGGATCTCACCATGGTGGGCAAGAGTCATGTGTCGGTCCACCACATGATAGCGGGGCCCACCATACCTTTAGTTCCTAACTTTATTTAAAAAAAAACTTATATAAAGCTATTATTAAATGGATAGGATTTAATCATCTTTAAAAGTGGGTATAAAATAGCCCCAACGTGTTTTAATTCTTTAAAAGTTAAACGAATAGGTCTCATCCTTTTCTAGGCTGCTATTGTAACTGTCCTAACTAATGAGTAATCTGTAAAACAGACGGGAGAAACCTCAGTCTCCGACCGGGACAATGGAGACCATTCCCATTGTCTAAATCAGCTTCGAGGGGGTCTTGCACCTGCCAGCCCGCTCGCAGGAGGGTTTCACCGGNCATAGACATCGTTTGCCACCATTATTTGGCTCAAATATAACGAAAAAAGCATTTACTCGCAAAAACTACTGCCAGTTCCCTCTTTTTGGAGTACAGTTTATTCCATTGAATTTGAAACTAGATTTTGGTGCTGGATGTAACTTGTGTACAACCCACCATCAGGGAGAGGGGCCAGTCCCCCCATTAGCTCCTATTCTTTAGAAAAAAAAGAAAAAAGCGGTCTTTCTTCATCCGTAAGGAGTATTAAACGTGGAAAGTATTTATGGGGATAATTTTCCGTTTCCTCCTCCTGAGGACGTAATGAGGAAATGAGGGACTGAATTCACAAGTACTTCGTAGAGCAATAAGGAGTTGACCTTCTGATATGTACTACAATTAGTACGTTCAGGGGCAGTCAACCTCTGTACTGTTCTATGTTTCCTGCTTGTGCACGGGAGAGACTTGAGCATAGGCAAGGGGTTACACTGGTACAGGTCGTACTAGTACTGCATATGGAAATGCCGTCTCCAATAGAATGCCTCCACTGGAAAAAAAACATTCGGGAAAATATTAACGCCAATATTGGCCCAATGTTTTTCCGTGTAGTAATGCCAATAATGGTCCAAGATGGGTGCCAATGTAAAGATCCGCCAAGATGTATACATCTTGACGGATCTTGGCGGTACATATTGACCCAATATTGGGGTGCTACTGGGGCAGAGTGGGAGTGAGCATTCCAATATTTGACCAAAATTTGGCTAACATTGCAATGTTGGCCATTTAAATATTGACTTAATGTTTGATGCAACGCCACCACAACGGTGGGAAGGTTCAAAATTAACGTTCATACAACGCTGATTGAATGTTCGTTTGTTCGCTGGGTAGCTACTAAACAAGGGGAAGCACGTTATGAATGAATGTAATGAAAGAGGATACCATGGAATGGGCGTCTTACAGTGTCCTAGTATATGCCTTGCATTGACGATATTTGTCAAATCCGGTCTCCAGGGCAGCAGGCAGATGCTCTACCACTAAGGCATGCCTCCGGTTTGAGCCCACTAGAGGCAAGACCAGGAGCCTACCCAGCAAACAATTTGAAACGCATGACATTGAATCAACGTTGAATCAACATTGAATAAATGTTCGGAACGTTGATACAACGTTGGTTCAACATAGCCTTGCTTGCTGGGTATATGCATATGATTACTGAATTCGTACCACCTTTAAAATGGGTTCCATGGGCCCAGTGGCATTTCTATCAAAGGAGATGTACCCTCACCTTGTATGAACCATAGAAAGAACATTACACAATGTAAAATGTGGTAAGTATTCATTTACAAATCATTGTGGGTAGTGACGTATTTTACGGGGGGGGGGGGGGGGGGGCCGCCCGCCCCACAGTTGGGGGGGGGGGGGGGTCGGGGGGGGGGGGGGGGGGGGGGGGGGGCGGCCGCCCGCCCTACAGTAGAGTCTCCTTGGGGGCAATCATTTTCTCCCCTGCTATCGCTTGGGTGGGGTTTGGCGCCCCCATCATGCTCCCTGCCCACCTCCCTCCCCTTCCCTCCCCGACTCTTCAGCCAAAATACGCCATTGATTGTATGCCTTACGTCGGCTAGAGTTGTCAAGTCTGGCCTCCAGACCACGAAGCAAATGCTGTCACCGAACCGTGCCTCTTGTTCAAGCCCTGTTGAGGCGCAAGACAAAAACCTACTGTAAGGTCATTCAGGGTAAGTGTGATAAAAAATTTAAGATTCATTTTTGAATGAATGGCAAAACTCACATATGGCAGATACAGTGAAGTACTTTTGAACACGTCAACGTTATACTGTTGGCTTTAAATCATGGTATTTTCCTCCACTCACTTTAATGACTGTAGGAGTACACCGCATTTGTGCTGGATCACACTTGCGTGATAAGTGTGATCAAAAGGCCAATAATGCTAGGGTATTGCAATTCAGCCAAAACAGTCAGCATGACTATTTTAAACCTGTAAAGAAGCGATTTTATTATTGTAAGCGTTTTAACTCAACTTAAGCAAATTTTTAAGTGATTACACCCGTTTTAGGGGTAAGCGTGATCTTGGAAAAAGAAAGTGTGATCATCAAAAAAATAGTAGTGAGGCTAAGCGGTATATCTGAAATGAGCAAATATCAGAATTTGGGCGCAAAACCGCATGTACCTTGCTGTGAGTACTTTTTAATGTTGATCACGTTTACCCCAAGTAGTTCACCATATTGCACAGTATGGGAAATTGAAAAATACAATTGAACGGAATGGAATAGGGACTGGTTTCGTTTGGAATAACTTTCCCATCACCCCATAAGCTCTTCAACTCCTCACTTCTCAATATTTATTGTTCTTGTTTCTTTGAGACAACTGGACAAAAAGCTGGACAATGATCGCCCTTACCCACATGCATGATTTCATGAGGTGTGATCAGGCTTACTATGCCCATGCCTAACATGAGCATAATAAGCATGAATGCAATTCCAAAGAGGACTTATTAAGGCCATAGGATTTACTTTGTCAGAATACCAAACATGATATTTATTCAGATGTTCTGAAGAGTCAGGGGAAGTTGAAATGGTTATTTTTTGCTTGCTTACAAACATATCTCAATGACTTGAATTTATTTGTATTGTCAGAATTGTATGCATATTCTCCTGACATTAGATTTCTTTCATTTATCACATTTAACCCTACCATCTTGCAGCCAGTGAAAAAATTGTCATGAATCGGAATTATGAAAATCTCCAACTACCTGTTCATTGACTGGAAAAGGTATGTCAAACTGACGGAAGTGTTGCAAGTTCCCAGATCATTCTTCAAGCTACAATGGACGCTCACAAATAATTCAGATGCAGCCTAATTTACAGACCCAGTGAGGATAGGTCAGAGGCAACTCCGTGAAATTTTAGAGCCAATGCACAATGCGTCAATCAGATAAGGAATTTTAAGCAAGAAGGAATGGCTTCAGCTTCAGGAATGTAGTTGAGTTTTTAAGTCTCTGAGTGAAACCAACGAGTGAAGAATACGTGAACACAGAGAAATAATCATATTACGAATGATCACACTTACCCCCATGCCTAATTTTACGGGGTAAGTGTGATCAGTCTTCCTATGCCCAAGCTTAGCATGAATGGATTCGAAAGAGAATAGTTGGAAACTTTGCCATGATACGAAAAATGGAATTTTATTCTGCAGTATTGATCATCTGTGAAAATTTGAATGAGGTGTGCTGAATTAAGTACTAGAGTTGAAAGAGGGTACTCTTATATTCAGTGAAATATCTCTCAGTTGTACCAGCGAAATTTGACTCGATATACAAACCAGGATTAGAGTGACAGAGTACTTCTTAGTGCATACTTCGTTGATGGCAAATTGCAATTGTAAGTACCAAAAATTAGGACTGATCACACTTACCCGTGATCACACTTACCGCAAATGACCTTATATGTAAAAAATCACACAGTGCATTCAGGTGGAGCATTAGTAAGAAAGTCACTCGGTATAAGAAAGACTTCGGTCTTTATTACCTTTCTGACGATGTCATTCAACAAGCTCTCTAGTGCTTCTATTGAAAAAAAGGATAGTGAGAAAGGGGGAAGAAACTCCCGACAGATTGAATTCATGAACTTGAGCATTGGCACATTGAAAACTGCCAAAAGAAGGGGGAATCAAAGAATTCAACGAAACCTCCTGATACTGAGACGTCACCCTTTCTCACTTTTTCCCAACAACTTCCAAGAATCCAAATATATAATACTCTGCAATGATATTGTAAAGAGTCCTCGTGACGGGATACATTCCGAGACGTACCAGTATATATAAAATCAAACAGGGGAGATCATGAGTCCTTCCCTGGAGGTAGAGGGAATGCTTCTACGGTCGGGTCTCGTGGCTTCCACACTGGGGAACCTGAAAGATGAAAATTTGAGCTCAAATTTCAGCAGAAGAATGCGAGTCTCCCCACAGAAACGAGCGGAGACTTTTTATTTATTTATTTTTTGCTGGTTTCATACAGGCTCATAAATAGCACTCTGATGGAGAAGAATGGGAGAGGGGGGGGGGACATTAAATTAACATTCTCTGCAGAGAGCGGGATAAAGGGAACCAGTTACAGCCATCTTTGTTAAGCACGGAGGAAGGACATGTGACTCTGGTATGTTAAACTCACAAGCCATATAACCATTATCTGAGAAAATGGGAGGAATAACACTCCTGAGTTCTTTGAACTCCAGCAGAGGAAAAATAAATACATTTTCTGATTCAAGGAAAATTCACACCTCTTCCTGTAAATATCAAATGTCGCAATGATCATGAGGTTAAATATTAGAAAAGGACAGCTTCCAGGCACCATCAGAGTTAGTATTCACAAAATGGAATATGATTTTGAGGATTATGAACGTCAGTCAGTATGTACGTGTGCAGCACGATTGATTCCACTCGGAGCATGGCATATGTTAAGAATACCCATAGTGGATTAGCACTCTAAATTCTATGGCAGTGGTTCCCACAATTATTTAAATCGCGACCCATTTGCAAACATCCAAAACATTTTATGACCCACCACTATTCAAAGCCAAGGGGAGAAAGGAGATTTTGAGCGAGGGTACAGATTTCAGTCAGTCTCGTGCTGTCCCGTTTAGGCTACTCCTGCGAAGCTCTTCTCTTGGGCACAAATCAATATTCATATGTAAATTGATCATAAACATCCAGCCTTACCCCGCCCCCTACATTTTCATTTTGACGGGCTGGCTCGAGCAAAAAAATCAGCCTTGAGGGATGCCATACTTCCATATTCCGTCCCATTCTTAGACACTGATACCAAACTCACTGGCATAATCTTAAGGGCTTCTTTGATTCCACTCTTTAAAACGTGTGTTTGCTGGCCTTAGTAGAAACGATTGATTCGATGCAAACTCTTTCCCAACATGCGTTTATTTATAATTATCTACGGAAGATTTCATGCGACCCACAGTTTGGGAATTGCTGGTCCAGGGCGTACAAACATGTTTCACAAGAGAATTCTCTTTCGGACGCGTGTCAGGGTGTGATACACAACGTTCTGTACATTGTGAATCAAACGTTTTTTGTGTATTATGCCCTGATACACGACATGGTATCATAATCTTGGGACATTACGCACCGATGGGTATTTATTCAAACTGAAGCGGTACTCATTAGAGTTGCAACAATATAAGACTTTGCCAAACCGATATGCTCTTCTGGTATTGAGAATTCCAATAATCAATATCTGATATTCGATGCTGCCAAGTCAGAACATTTTTTTTAAGGGTATCTATTGGATCCAAGTCTAAAGGTATAGCACCACAATAAGGCCTCGTATTGCATATTGTCATTAGATTTCCTCTCCCTAAAGCACAAATCAGATATCCACTTCATGTGAAAAAAAAGAAAATAATAACAAAAAATAGAATAACAAATGCACGCTGCTCTCGACAACATATCGATGCATCGTTCATCAGGTTCATTTCGTTAAAAAAAAATCCTGTCCTTACGGTTCGGACGTTACAACAAAAAGTCAGACCAAAAAAGGGTTTATGCCAAAAATTGCTTTCTGATACAGGTTTGATCAAGGATTCCGACAGCATGATTATTTTCCCACAAAGTTGTCACAAGGGTATCCAAATGAAGATTTGTAGCAGTATCCCTTATCCCAGTTGGGTAAAGGAAGCCACTTGAGGCCCAAAAAACAACAGTGGCAAATCATCTTGAATCTATTGGGTTGGAAAGAAAGTCTTGCAACACTTTCTAAAACTCTTTATAAAAATTTTCAAAGGAATGATGGGCGGGGCTTTGCANGTTCTTCTCTGCTGTTGATGGGATTCAGAAGGAATGTTGTACTATGAGCTCCTGCCAACCGGTACCACCGTGACTGCCGTCGTCTAATCTGCTCGACTTCAGAAGTTGGCTGGCGTCATTCAAAAAGAGCGTCCCAAACGCGACAAAGTTCTCCTTCTGCATGACAGCGCTCGTCCACATGTTGCGAAGATGATTCGCCAGACAATTTCGGAACCGGGCTGGGAAGTTTTACCCCATCCAGCGTATTCTCCGGACTTGGCCCCTTCCGACTATCACTTGTTCCGGGCCCTCAAGAATCACCTGCGGGACAAGGCCTTCGACGATCGAGCACAGCTCGAAAATGATGTCTGCCGTTTCTTCGCTTCGCAACCGCCAGAGTTCTGGGCAAAGGGCATCGAGCAGTTACCCGTGCGTTGGGAACAAGTCATAGACAACAATGGTCATTACATTGTAGACGGAAATTGCATTTCAATAAAGTTATAAAATTTTGAAAAATTTGCACAGAGTGTTGCAAGACTTTCTTTCCAACCCAATATTATCCCTTTCCAAAAAAAAAACCAGCGGTGGAGGACAGCATAGAAAAGCTCGGTTGCCCACCCAGATCTGGAGCCGCCTGGCCTACTGGGCACTGATGTCGCACTCCCTCAGCTCTGTCTCTTTCCTTACCTGTTACATCAACAATACTTTAACCTGGAGCAGTAGGAGTGAAATGGATAACGAAGCCATCGTTCTATCAGTGAAGAGGAGGCAATCTGTCGCCTTCAGAATAATTACGGTATTGGCATTGACATCATACGCATATATCCTTGAGATATCTGAGCAAATGGGGAGGAGATGGGGTGAATTTTCTGACCAAATGACTGGTAAGAGGGGTGGGGGAATGGGGGAAAGGGTGAGAGTGGGCGGAAGAAGATAATAGACATGGAGATGCTTGACACCATTGAAATGATCTTAACCGATGAGCCTGTGGCTTCAGTGAGGGAAGTCAATAACCATCTCCGACAGGCTCTGCTACAAAAGCCGCAAGTTTTGGAAGAGGCTGTATTTAGGGACCTAAAGTACAAATGTCGCTCAAGGATGAAAATGTTTCAAATATGAAAAATTTCCACCTGCTTTAGCTCTTTGCGTCTTCCTACGATGTCAAAGCCTGTCATTTATATCTGTATTTTTTTTTAAAGGTATATTATGAAAAATCCAGAAGGCGTGTGAAGAGGACGAGGACTTTGATGGAGGGAGAATGGAGGAGAGAGAAGGAGTGCCATACGTAACTCCGCCTCGAAAGGGGCTCAGGACTCCGGACGATTTTCCCCTACTACCCCACCGAACAGTTTTTTCGTGGAAAAGGATATTATGGCTTCAAAACACGATCAACTTGAATTGAACCTTTGCCTCAACAATGAATTTTGAATTCCAACTGCTCTGTAGTCAGTGTTCGAATTTAGATGGGTCAGAATATTATGACACCCCTTTTCCAAGCATACCTATTGAATTGGTGGTGCTGAAAACAAAATTGGAAGAATCTGACCGCCGTATACGAACGTCCTGTAAGGCAGAGACTGTTTTCAAAGCAAGATGCCTCATAAGTAAAAGAAATGCCTAAAAACTTCGCTTCTTGATATTGCATTTGAATCATTTCAACTGTTTACTCAGCTGAAAGTTGGATTCGGCTGCTAATGCATCTGTGAGTCTTACGTACGGCTTATGGCTCTTTGCTTTGCAGAAAATATATTTTTTCATTAAAATCTAGCGTCAGTGCCCAAAAGAAGCAACGGATCTATTAAGGAATTATCCGACTATTTCACGCTCTGATGATACTGGATGCCGAATAGCCTTATTGGAAGGAAGATTTTGCTTTTACTACTCTTTTCTTTACTAAATTTTCTTTTTCGCTAGCCCCATATCTCCTGGCTATATTCATATTCCATAGGGTTCGAGTTCTTTAATGATGATGACTGACTGTTGATCTTGAATTTATGAAATGAAGATTGAAGTAGGAAAAATCTATAAATAGTATCGATGTGAGAACCTACAAATGAAAATTGTCACATGACAATACAAAAAAAGACAATGAAAAGATATACAAAAAAAGAAACCTATTTGCTTTAAAGCGAAGAAATGGGGATATGAGATAATAAAAAAAACCCGAAAGTCTCCAGAACCATAAAAAGAATTCTTTAAGTGGAATTAATGTGGACAAACCCATAGGTTTAGAGGATCCCTCGTTGTTCTGGTTTCCGGGAGTCCCACTGCTGTGAATGAGTTTGGCCTGTCCCAGGCCCGCACTGGATGATATACTCAAAGTCGAAGTGCTGCTCAAACTCAGATGCTTAGGAGTCTTCCCTAATGCCGGCTTCTCCCCAGATCCTTCCCCCTCCGAGTAGTCCAGCGACGACGTCGGCTCCAAGGTCAACTCTGTTTTTTACAGGTTGCTGATATTTTATTGCATAATCACGAGATCGAGCAAATAATTAATATCACTTTAAAATAAAATAAACAGAGATTGCTCTCTAAATACGACAGTAAAATTACTCTATATCGCGCAACTAACTACATCGTAGAAGAAATAAGTAATGGCCATGAAATCATCCCTTTTTAACCCGTAGGAAACCTGTAAGCGTGATTTTTCAAGTTAAGTCGGTTTTGTACCATACAATACAGTAGGTGACATTAGCATTATTGATTGGACAGAAAACTCTTCTGGTTGTAATCAAATACAACGTAAGTGGAAGGGAATTACAAGGGATAAAATACAGGGTGTACGACAGAAAACGCCAGACATCAAACAAATTCAACTTTTTAAAATGCATACCTACATCCTTGATTTTCTTATCACTGTGCTCCTTGAAGTCTGAAATTTCAGGAAAACACTACCTGCTGACACAAAAACTTCGTCAAGCGTCGCCATTTGCACAAAAACGTATGATGTAGAAATGCAAACTGCGATCTCTTGACTCCTTGAAGAACCGATTAAGTTTGACTGCTATTCAAGACAGCTTTTAGTCAATATGTTGATGTCATGATTTAAAAAAATCTGCAGTATATTCTGTGATTTGCTCCCTTTAAGAAAGAATAACAGAAAAAATTTGAGCGTCAGTTCCACCTTGTTTGCAAAAAAAATTTACAGGATTGGAGAATATCAAGCGGTTAGACGATTTCAACGCACTGGAATATTCTGACGGCAGCTTTACTGTCGGACACCCCATAACACCCAGGTGATAATTTGTTTAAGGCTTCCAGGATACTTGCAATGCTCTCGAAAATAGACATTTGTAGAATGTACAGCAAAAGAATGCCACACAGAGTGAAGATTCTGGTTCAAGCAAAGTCAAGTTTTACCCGCAGCAAGTGTTGCGGTTATCTACTGTCAATATCCTACGGCTATGCTGTCGTAGATTCAGGGCAACAAGGAATAAATGGAGCTTTCTTGCAGAAAACGTGTTTTAGATCAGGAGGACTTTTTTTTCCGAACAGCAGTGAACTACTGTTGAAAAGAAGTCACCAGCAAGGACACAATATCTACAAATACTCATCGCCAAAAAAAAGCACGACCAAGAAGGAATTGAGCGATCTCGATGAAATTTAGTAGACAAGCTCGTACTAGCATACTATGGAATCGATTAGAGTTTCAAGTGTGTGGGATGAATATTCATTGAGAAAACTTGCCAATTAATTAAATTTCAATAACGGCTATGGGGTCATACTAATCGCCCGAAACGGTTACCTAGAAGGCTTTTACTGATGAAACGTGGCAGGAAAACTCCTAAAGATGTGCAGAAAAGTTTTGAGATCATGAGATGAGGCAATGCGAAGAAAACTAAATGCTAAATTCCGAAGGAATTGTGACGCATTTATCAGCTTCTTGCATCAGGCTGATGCATGCTTCAAATTGCTGCATGGTAGGCATCCTGATTACCCTTCATGGATCAAACATCCTTACAACTTGTTGGAATTTCTTCCAGACATCTCATCTTGGCACTACCTTGCCGTTAGACACTCAACAACGAACCTATGGTGAAGTGACTTGAGGTGCAGAGAAAGGAAACTGGCGTCTTCAATGGCGCCGCCCTCTTCTCCATTTCCTTTTTTTGGCGATGAGTATATACTTCTGCTTCTGTATACAGATTCTGACGTTTGTTCAACTAACAGGTCCTTTGTCCAAAAGAGTTCTCATATTGTGCGTATGTGTGTGTGCATTAAATAAATTAATATCAATTTCCCGCCCATTTGCCTCGTCAGATTCTGAGTTGTCAAATCGATTCTCTCCGGCAGTATGCCCTGAGGTGATATATTGATCTCCTGACCTCGTCCAGTAGCTAAAATATTTATAATTTAGACAATTTGGGTTGAATACTGAAAACTTTGATGGAAATCAGAGCAGCCTACAGAATACTAGACATACCAACAGTTGCTCAACATCGGCTTCCAACTACTAGTATTTCCCCACATGTAGCTTTGATGGAAATCAATGTTGTTCCAACATTGGCCCAACCGTACCGTGTTACTTGGCACATGAGATATTACAGTTTATAAGAAAGCGTGCTGTGTTTAACATGCCCCACTCTGCATGCATCGTTTAATTAAAATAACTTAGTCGCCATAATTACATATTTAATGTATAACTAGTCAATAGGCCGTGCAAAAGCACGGAATAATTTAAAGGCAATGAATGCGAACATGGCCACAAGATGTGGGGCGGGGGGTGGCGGTCGCCACTGGCTGACCATGTGAGAAGACAGGACGCGGCAAAAACACCCCTAATTCCTCGAAGGTCTCCCCCTACGCTTCGTTATTCGTCATTGGAAAGGCAGGGTTGACGGGGAACTGACACCAAGCGAAAACGAAGTGGAGCCCAAAGATCAAGACGTTACCTTAAATCCGCTTTGTAGGACAATGTGGTGTGTGGGTTTTTATTAGCGGTCTCATGCTGATCTGCGAACATCGTAACCGGCCATGCACGTTTCCGAACGATTGTGGTCTTTGGCCGTGCTGGTTCAACCCATTCCTATGACTAGGAGAGCACACGCGATCGCGCCAAGAGAACGCGTGTCGTTTGTATGAGCGCGCATGCCACCGACTACCACCACCACGGACCGCAGTAGATTTTATTATATAGATTTTACACAATTGAAATTGCTATGTTATGTGTCTCAGTGTTCCTTACCGGGCTTTCTACCTGCTGTGCCCTCCGTCATGCTTCGAGCTCGAAAGTTGGGTGACTCCCTGGATCCTCGGGTGCTCAGGGTCTGAGACCGAGTCTGGGATCCGCGGGAATCCCGTCTCTCCCCATTGCTGTGACTCTTCTCTCTCCGTTCCCCTGAGGTCGAAGATGCCCGTGTGCTCAGGGTACGGCTCAGCATAGCGTCTCGGTGCTCCTTGCTCCCCCGGATCAATTCCGCCTGGCATGAATACATGTATAACACATACACTTGGAGTACGAAGTCTACGCTGGAAGCGATGAGCTTCTTCAAAACTTTCTGTGCATATTGCATTGTAGCCATTTGTTAGCCTTTTCATCTCCGATTGATGACTTTACTGCTATGATTGGCATTTGCTTATTCTAAATGATGCTGATAACTGCTGGATTAGTGACTGTATTAAATCACATTTGTGGAATTGAAAAAAGGAAAAAGCCACGCGCACAGAAAAGGGAGAGTAGCAGTTACAGTTGCACAAACGCCAAGTTTCCTGGGATTTAAAGCACATCATTGTTTGGATTGAAAATGAAGATTTAATCTTTTTAAAGCTCATTTAATAAGGAATATTATTGCTTTTAAACAACAACGATAGAAATTCAAAATTGAAGGCTACGCTACACCGACTTAATGTTTGAGTCAATTAATAGCAGTCAGTGGCATGGTACAGGAAAACTTACGCTGAAATTGTTATTTAACACGTTGACCGCCACGGTCATATTGGCCTGGTGACTTGGGCCTGGTGACAGTGACCTGGGCCAATATACATTTTTACATCCCTTGGAGAAAGTGACGCACGGGGAGCACCGGTGTGCCCAGTGGCGGTCAACCTGTTAAACGAGTAATAGCCTACTTCCTTCTATTGATACTTACATGGTCTCTGGGGTTGACGCAGGAACAGGTTTAGTTAGCTGCGGATGCACTAGGTCCGCCTGTGCACCCCCTGACGAAGCTGGTCGAGCGGTATCAATAACCTCAACCGGAGCTTCAATATCTTCTCTTTTTTTTTTTAACTCTCTTTGACCTGATACCCCTGGTCTGCCTGACATTTCACTTAGTTCGGTTATTTTTGTTTGTAACTTTCTGGAGTTCCTAGGTAGATCGTTGTGCTGACAGCTGCCAATAAGATATTTTTAGTTTATGCAATAGTCATCTTCATTGGGAGCAACATGTGTTGTCCATCCAGTTATTCATGCGAGCTTACCTAAACCTTTATCTTACTTTTAAGAAATCACTTCTGTATTACTTTACTATATTACTACACATTACTATTGCCACCTGAAAGTCTTTCAGCCATGCTCTTTCCACTTCTAAGTCCTTCGCTCGAAAATTCCGAAAAAGATCTATCTGCACTGAAAGTTTTAGCAGGACTGTACTCCTGGGGGCACGGTCCTGCTAAAACCTTCAGCGCAGGATTACCCTAATCAGCTGATGAGAATCCTGCAGAACTTTTCAGCATCCAAAGGCTAATTTTGTTATCACTTCATTTTAAACTATTGTCTTCTGGTTTAGTTACTGTTTTAGGCGTTCAGTGCTTGCTCGACTCGACTTGCCTTATTTTCATAATCGGTAAGCATAGGCGTCTGTAGCTTATGGCTAGCCACGCTCAGTATCTTGCGTGGGAGTTGATTCAGAAATTTGACTTGGTTGACCTTTTGTCAACTGTTTTTATTTTTTTTTAACACATACCTATAATGCCCTTCTATTAGAAAAGGCTAAATATTCAAGATCAAAGGACAGGGGTCTCGCTCACTGATATTTGTGTTAATTCAAATTTCCCATAACATATAATGTGAATGGGTATTAAAAGAGCTTTAAAATGACGCCAATTTCCTCTCCCTACGTTCATTAGGAGAAAGGCAATAGGCACTTGAGTGATGACCCCCTGGTCCGGAAATCGGTAAGTTTTGGCTTTATTCGAATCACTGTATCTCACCGAGCACCTCACAAAGGGAGATGAACTTCGGTGCGGATTAGTTCTCAAGAGACCCAACAAGCCCACCAAATCTCAACGCAACACAAGGGGTCAGGTTAATTTTTTTTTTAATGTATGGATTAGATATGGAATGACTCTCAAGAAACATCCATAATGTTCCCAAACGTGCTGCTGCATACTGAATTGTATGTCAATAGACACGTAAGGACTTCTCCCCCCCCCCCTCCCTCATGGATAAAAAGTCTAAATCTCCGAATCATCTCGAAAGAGAGGGATTCCTGACCTTGTTGGAGGGGATGCTCATGTTTCTCACGCTCTCTCGGATGATCTGCCTGATTGTCTTGATGAAGGCATTCCGAAACTCGCTCGTACTGGAGAGTAAGTGGAAAGAGGGTTGTACACAAAGTTACATCCAGCACCAAAATCTAGTTTCAAATTCAATGGAATAAACTGTACTCCAAAAAGAGGGAACTGGCAGTAGTTTTTGCGAGTAAATGCTTTTTTCGTTATATTTGAGCCAAATAATGGTGGCAAACGATGTCTATGGAAGCTGCCTTCATATATTAGAATTCTTCTTCTTGGATTCTAAACATGATCAGAATAGAATTGGTCGGAATCCACCAATTCCCTAATGAAAGATTTGGGATCTTCCTATCTCACCTGTTGCAAAGGTGATAGGCCTTCTCGTTTCTCCTCTGAACGTTGTTCGGCTGGGAGGAGTTCCCTCCACCTCTGAGGTGGATAAGTTCCCAGTAGAACCGAGCTTCGACCTCCTTCACGTTCGGGCACCTGACCTGCACCTGATTCACCGGGATGAGCACCTGGTACCGAATCACCTCTACCTCACTGTTCACACCTCCTGGCATCCGACTTGGAGGACCCTATATCAAAACAGGGTGGGCCAAATCACTTTGTCGAACTTTGAAAATGTTTTGCTGACATATTTTCATTTCACTTCAAAAAGTAATCATGAGGTTTAGTTATTCCACCTTGGGATGACCTTACAAAACACATAATTAGTAACACCAATAAGAGTCAATAAAATATCTTTAAAATAAAATATAATCGCACGTGCAATATATCATGGAAAACTTGTAAACAATTAGTTACCAAAGTAAAGCAAAGTTTGAAAATTCAGATCGATGCAATAATTTGACCATCATTGTAGGTTAAACTGTTATTCACATTTCCATATTGAAAAAGGAAAGAATGCAGAGAATTTGTTGCTTAATTTAGCCGTAACAGTTGTCACACTTTGCTTTCTTGTCTTGGGTGCGGGCGGAAATGAACCCAATAAAAAAAAGACCAAGATAAAAATACATGCCTAAATACATAGAGTGCAGTTGTCCATTTTTCCTGTCGCAACATGAGTGTAAGTAATTTTTTTAGTTTTCTCACGAAGAGAGCAAAGAATGAAGGGATCCCTTCATAATTAACTCGCTTCGATCTCGGCATTGTACGCACTTCACATGCTTTCTCGGAAGTAATGATGGAAGCAGTACGAAAAGTGAAAAAGCACCGGAAATCCAAAATAAGGATGGGCATTGCCTCTCAGCGGGAACGTAAGGCAACTGCTATTGGCTTCCATTCCACTGCTAACTCAAGTTGTAAGAAAGTAGGAAATTGCTGTTAGCTGCTAAGGACACTCAACTTGTGAACGCGCTGAAGTACGATTACTAAGGGAAATTAATTCATTTCTGGGATTAATTTCCATATTTAGCAGGAAAATTCTCTGACGACATATATTTTCTGCGACAGGGAAGGAAACAGAGCTAAGTAGGCTCTGTGAAACATAATGATTGTTGACACCGGTCGAATAGATCATCAGTAAGTAAGATAGCAAGATTTATTTTTACCATGAGTTTCTTTTTTTGGCGGAGGCGTTCCTTGCACAGGAAGACGACCGCAGTGCAGAAGACAAAGCACATGGAATGGAACTCCAGTCCCTTCTTGCCACGTCCCAGAAATTCTCCAATATTGAGCCATTCCACCCCACCGTAGTAGAGGAGCTCCCCTGGACTTAAGTCCATTTCCTGTGGAGAGAAGAGAATGAAATTATCTATGCATTCCTTTCGTATTGATTTGCTTTTCACGAAGGAAAACGAGCTCGGACGACGAGTGACCTGTTTGTAGTTCTTGAGATGCTGCCTGCATAGATGATCGAAGATCGCTCCGTATTCCTCATGGATTCTTTGCATCTCGTTGATGTGCTCCGCCACACCCTCCATTTCTCGCAAGGCCTCTGGAAAGGCAATCACAAGGGAAAATGATGTAACAGCATAGAAAAATGCTTAAAGAAGGTGCAGATGCATAAATGAGCGGGAAACCTACCTCCGAGGTGCTGATGCTCCTCGCTGCCGACCGGAGTTAGTTGCTGCAGCTGAGTGAGGAGTAAGGGATATTGGAGGATTCGCTGAATTGGCTTGATCAAATACGACTCCAAACTCATGGAATGTTGACCTCGAGGGTTTCTCAACCTCAGGAACCGCTGCAGGGCCTGGTTCCCCTCATCTAAAAAATGCAAATAAATTAAAATTTTTGAGATTAAGTCAGACATTGTAAAATAAAATCCAGTTTTTATAACGTATAACTCGTATTCATTTCAAACATAAACTTTCACCTTGCATTAACAAATGATCTAATTGTAATAAAATTGGGGGGAAAAGCAGTTTCACAATCCGCTTCATCGGATACTGAGGAAGAAAACTCGAATCGACCTTGGCGAAACGCCAAGAGACGGAATCAATATGATGGAAGTGATCTATGGAACGGGTTATCGGCGCGGAAATTCAATCCTCCAGCTAAATATCATTAAATGCCTGGACCGAAGGAAGGAGTCATCAATCAATCAATCGATTAAATCCAACTTAGTATCGGGGAACTCACGTGGATGAAGGATCTTCTGCGCCTTGGAATGACTAGCACAGAAGGAGCTGTAAAGCTTGAAGTTCTTAGAATGGAAGAGGAAAGCGTTCCCCAGAGCAAACAGAACATTCTAGGAAAGAAAAAGCAAAGACGCCAAAATCTGAAAGTCAGAATCTGAAAATCCTCAAAACGGCTTTGAAGAATTCATAAATAAATATAAGTGACCAGCACCAGACTAAATTATATTGCTCAGGCTAAAAGTAATCTGCAAATAGCTACAAACAATTTCAAAATTATAAATAATGAATAATTTAAGTTCGAAAAATACCACGGCAAATAAGCGAAATATTTTCAAGCTAGTTAAAAATGAAAAAATCAAGGCTCGCAGTTTTAAAACTTCTTCAACGGAACAACTTGTCATCTATCAAAGAAGTTCTTTAAAATCTAACAGAATGTCGATTTAAAGTCATGATTGTATGCACATGAAGATACCTTGAATTGGGGAGGTTGGTCGAAGGCGAAAATGTCGCCATCAACATGGATGGCCTCTTCCATGCCCCTAGCGAAAAGTCTCTGGAACATCACGATCTCCAAGATATTCCCGAATAACCCCGTGATTTCAGTTGCACTCAGGAATGTCTCCCTTTTTAGCGGTTCCAAGTAGTTCTCCAGGAGGCTGTTCAAATGCTGAGCCCAAAGAACAACACATTCATTCATTTCCTTCATTGCGATTGCAGAGTGGAAAATTTGTGGCATTGAACATTCTCGCAGAAATATTGGAAAGAAATTCACCTCTATCGTGATGGGTCCCTGGTGGTTTTAATTGTCTTATAAATACATACTTTATAAATAAATCCTATAAATGATTGGTTTGAGCGTTTGTGAATTGTAATGCGGTAATAAGGTCATAAACTTACTGGTCGTTGCAGCGTGTCCAATCTATTACGATTATGCATTTTCAAATTCGAATACTAGCAATGATACAATCTGTAATAAAAATCAAGCATGTACATTCGTATGAGCATGTCCTTTGGAGGTTTTTCTGCTATGTAGCTGTCTTGAGGAAATGCTTGAAGAGAAAAAGAAGAAAATGCTGCAAGCTGATGTATGTTTTCCCGTTAAAACTTTATGTACATCTTGTATCTTGTATACGTTACCAGAGCAGGCATTGAGCTGAATCTCATAGCTCTTCACCATCACACTCGATGTTCCAACGAAACATGAGGATTCCGAAAGAATACGCACGCACCTATCGTGCCAATGTAAAAAATTTCGGGAATGAACTTTTTGAGCGCAGAGGCTGCTCTAGGTCATCCGGGACACTCCATAATTTCTGGTCTTATCTAATCCCTCTACTGGGGATTATCACGGAAAGAAAACTACATGGGGTATGGGATATGACACTCACAGAGACGTAGGTCTTCTCGGTCTCGAGGAGTTCAAGTATGACCTTGCGAAGGCGGACGGCGTCGCTGAGCTGTCGCTGGGGTGTGAGGGAATGTGAGAAGGAGGAAGAGGCGAGGCTGGTCGTAGGCGACAGGTCACCGCCGACCAGCAACGATGACCCACCCTCCAGCCCTTCATCTTTCCGGCAGATTCCTGTCACCTGCTCCGCACTCTGCCGTTCAACAATCCACGTATTCTGTTAGAGTAGCCAATAGCCTTGCAAGGCTGGAGTAGCTATGATAAAGTCTAATCGAGTAACAGATCCGTGCACCAATATTATCAAGTCATAGAATGCAATGAGATCTTCAAGCACTAATCCTTCTGGAGGGGATTGTATCACGCGAGAGACGAAAGGACACTGGCAAACATGCATGCTGAGCAGGTGAGACCTAACCACTTTATGCCATGAGAGTCGCTGCTGAGCAATGGTCTTTCATTCTCACCAACATTTTCTTGCGGGTTTACCATTGAAATATACTCTGAAATGAAACTATTATTTACCGACAAAAATCCTCGAAATATACAATATAAATCTACTTCTGTGCCAATTTTAGTCCCACAATTCCCCGTAGTTTTGGAGTACACTGTATTAAAAAAATAAATGGTTCGGACTAGAACCTTCGAATGCATGTACACTTTCAGAGCGGTTTTCAATGATCGAGAAACTATTTGAAATAGTTTTAAGCTCACTTTAAAAACTGTTTGACATAATGACGCATAATGACAACTCGGTAGCTCTTGAACTAAGGGACTCGGTACTAGTCTATGCTTTGTGATTCCTAGAACCACTTTTTCACGATCTTTGTTTAACAGTGACTCGTGAGAGTGAACACATGAACGCCTCAGATCATAAGCATTGATTATCTGCCTTGTCAAAGCCCTCGGATCCTGGCCAGGTGTTAACCAGTTTCAGTTCGCGTAGCCTTGATACCAGGAAAATGGTTCTACAAAAGTTTCGCCTAAAATGTTTCCAATCCGAGCCTTTAATTTTCGAGAAGAGAACCTTTTTCACTAAATTTGCATAATACTTTCTAATCGTGCGAATGTCCTAGGTCGTAGCGTTCATGTTCTGCCCTGTCAAAACCCTGGGATCGTGGTAGCTCCAGGAATCAGTTTCACCTCTTCCATGAAAATGGTTCTTTAAAGGTTACACTGTAGAACTTTTTTTTTACAGTGTATATAGAACTCTAAACGATATCAAATAGTTGGCTTAGTTTTAAAGAAAACTTGACTCTTATCCTATCTTGGTACAGATCTACCACAGTGCCAAGTTTCATGTCTCGACTCTTCTAAGTTTTCAAGGTTTTTCAAAACATTCATCCACACACCTATCCAAAAGAGGGAAACAAATCTTCCCGCCTTCGCTTAGATGCAGCACGGGAGGAAAAAAAGTGTCCTAGTACATTCTTTGGATGGCTTCAAGTTACTTAGCGAGTTTGGAGACATAATGGTTCAAAAAATTCAAGTCGATACGGTTTTGCCACCCAAGAGAGTTGGAGACGATTTAGGTTTTCATCGCTTTTCCCTCAGTATTTTTTGTATCCTTGCGAGAGAAAAGAAGCATAGGAAGCTTGCAATCTTCACCCAATTTAGACCAATATGAAACTTTATTCGGCAAATATGCTTGCTAGACCATAAGGAAAAATTAGTTAATTTGACGTTATCGAAATCCCATTTAAGAAACATATCCGAATATGGTTTATTATTATTAAAATTGAGTAGATCTTCTTCAGGGTTAGTACTCGAGTTTATGTACTTACTCTTGGATATATTAGATCTGGGCAGTGCAGTAGAGCCTCTTCAACCCATTAGATGGAAGAATGTGTTTTGGCACTCCCATTCTGCAGTAGGCCAGGGTCTTCCCGCAAGGTTTCGACCCGTTACATTTTACCTCACGCAGAAAATCATAAAAAGAAAATGACCAAAAACATGTCGCAAATCAGAAATAATTTCTCGCTGCTGGAACGTTTCCGTAAAAAAATACATCAAGCTTGATAGGCTAAGAGTCAATTTCCCTATGAAAATCTATGGGTGTTGAGTTGTTGAAATCCTTTGCACTTCTTTCTCTGCAAAGCAATGTCTGTTGTAGTATCATATTAATTAAGAAAAGGATGCTATCACATCGCGTCGACATTACTTGAAGCATACCAAATACAAAGTACAAACAATAGATTTTCAAAACCCTAGACTAGAAGACCTAAGGCCCATATCGCATTCTCTTAGCTAGGGTCAGCATACATACATTCGTACATACATTCTAGTAAGATAAATCTCATCTCTCACGAATCCCACACGGTCGTTCAAAAAAAATTGCGGAAGTTTGAAGTTTAGGTAGAATGGAAAGACAGAGACAACTCCTTGTGCTCTGGGCCCTCTCTGATTCTTACTAATTTTATTTCATTGTTTCTTGAGAAGTGGAGTAGCCGCAGGATGTAAAAGCGAGAATTCTCGGACCGTGTCAGGAACCATGAATAACTCCACAAATGAAATACAGGGTGTTCCAAAAGTCAGGAATCCAATAAATGAAAAATCCTTCCCCTAATTTCCTTATTTACCTTCGGCAGTCTGATTCAATTTCCCTTGTGGAAAATGAATCCTGGAGAGTGAAGGTGTCGATGGAACTATTCATGAAAGATGGAAGTATTGAGAGATGAAAATATAAGAAATGAGGAAATTGTCACCTTGAGGAGATTTTCGATTTCGAGGGATGACGATCGCTGCGTCAATCGGCGACCATCGACAGGAGGAGGAGGACACCCGATGCCCGTCAATTCGTTGCTTTTCTCTGCACAAAGCAAAGAGTTTTATTTTAATTTATCTGCAAGGTTATTTCTAGTCAATTTTCCCTTGTGTTTTGTGAGGAAGACAGTTCGAGAGGCGAAGGTGAAAATTTTGGAACTCGTGCAGTGGTCGGCGATCAGTATTGTGAAAATAAATTATGTACTATTGCTCAAACAATTGACACTAGTGCTGAAATTTGCTAAGTGCATGTTTCAATGGTAAACATGCAACTCACAAATTCGTTTTTGGCACCTGTCGGATTCCTGTCGCAAGGATGCAAACTCGTGAAATCTGGCGATTTGGCTTCAATTTGATAAGAAAATTTGCTATTGATTTTTCTAACACAACTTGAAGTTGTGTCTCACCTGTAGGCGCTGGTACGATGAGGCCACAGATGGCCTCCTCACTGAGAGTCGGCGGTTCAGATGGAGGAGGAGGACACACCAAACTCATGATGTAGTCACTGGATCTGCAGAATTGCGAAACAAGCAGTCAAAAAAAGTCATTAAAGAAGAGAAAAAGAAAGAACTGGAATTAGGAGATCTGGCCAAGAGTCCAGATGCATTCTCTTGCTGATCTCATTTCATCACTTTCGATGTAATACGAGTATATCATCGGTTACGTCAAAAACGGTAACAACCAGGTAATAGGAGGAAATTAAGTGAAGGCCTAGAGGTTGGCCAGAGTGCCTGATAGGATTTTAGATGCAGATTTTAGCTACTGAGTTTCCAAAATCCGGTCACGTGCTGTAAAAATGTCGGCTTGACTGGAAAGCAGTTTTGCTTTCAAAAGGTTCAATAAAATGAACGTACCGCAACCGTCCGTTGTTCGGTGGGCCTCTCCTTGCAGACCGAATGACGAGACTCAAAGTCCTCTCTTCTTGCAACAGGGCTTCCAGGTACATCATATCGAGGTCCCCGACTACTGCTCCGTTGATCACCAAGATCTCGTCACCTTTCATCAGACCTACAAAAAAAAAGAAGACTAATCAGAGATACTCAGAAAGTGATGGTTTGATGAAGTTTCACGCGATAGATCCTGTCGATAACGAGATTAAACGTCATTGAATCGCCACCGAGAAGCGTGTGGACAGACTTTGATTGATGCCAGCTGATTGGGGACAGGTCCGATTATAGTAAAGGACCTGTCAGGTCCTTGATCGATTGCGGGCTTTCCACCACACTCACTCTCCATTATTCCCTCTCCATACTCGTGTGGCTTTGAAAGCCCTTCAAGCAAAATCTCCTTTGTGAGTCTATAACGCCAGGGCCTTAGTGGATCGATACGTAATATTCCGCAGCGCAGAACACAAGCCAAGAAGGGAAAAAGGTTACTGAATAGAGGTATAAATACTAACCGTTGGACATTGCTAGTGAGCCCTCCTCAGCTCGACTGATGTAACAGCAGAGTTCGTCTTGTTTTTCGGAGTTTTCCACCAGTTCTGCTTCGACGCTGAAGCCCCACATTTGGGTCAAACTGTTTCTGCTCAGATCCACTTGGTATATGATCTTGGCACAGATCTCCACAACTTCGTGTGTCGCCAGCTGCAAGTTTGAGATTTTCAGATTGAGAATATGCTTTCGATTGGTGCGAAATTATCATATAGTATCAAAGAAACCATAATATTGTTACGGAGGGGAAAGTGGGAGACGGACGATGGAAGGCATGAGAGGACGAAAGAAGCCAAGGAACGGCCGGGAATTGAACCCGGGCCTCCTGATTGCCGGTCAGGTGTGCTACCACTACACCACCGAACCCCGGACATTCAGTCGAGCCTCTCGATGCCATCCTCATCCGTCACAATATCAAAGAAATTATCATATAGTCTGATTTCTTCATCTAGATAGCCTATGCTGCTTCCGTTTTCCCAGATGTCTTGGAAAGTTTCCGCTTCAAGAATATTCATTTGTTAGTAAGTGGTTTTCACTTTAAATTGCAATTTGATTTTTCTGCTAGTCTGCAAGTTTCAATTATCCTGGCAAATGACTTTCCTGCAAACTGACTACATTATCAATTTTCTCTCTGTTGACCTATTGAGTGCACAGGAGGAGCTTCCTTAATTTTTTCATCATAAACCTTACAGGAAGCAACTCCTAGCAGTAACGATCCGTGTGGCTATTGAATGTACAGCTCTGTCCATCTTAGAGCTTGTCATCATGATTCAGAGCACGATCCTTAGATCCGCTCTCCTCCTTTAGCTATCCCAAGACAGGATGGTTGAAATATTGCCTCTCCAGGAAAGACAGAAGAGCAGGAAAAAAAAACCCTGAAGCAGTACCGTTTGGAATAAACACCAATATGGAATGGGGCTCACGTAGCTGTCGATGAGATCGGATCTGTGGGGAATGAAGGAGTTGTTGTCGTCCATATCCCGCCTCTTCTTGATCCGAACGAAGTGTTCTTGGGGTGACAGCCCCTTCTTCAGGCAAGCACTTGCCAAGAACTCCTCCACTGACATTGCCTCCTTCAAATTCACGCTCACCTCCTGCTTAAATGTACATTTCCCAATTGTATTTAGCAATGTTCCGCTAGTAGTTCTCTCATTAATGTCTTTCGACGACCGATGCTGTAGGATTCTCTATCAAAAACTGTGCTTTGAAATTTGCATAACGAGACTAGGGATTGAACACAAAGGTCGAGAAAGGGATATTTAAAATGCGCAGTCATACTTACTATTCTATTTTTCAATATAGTCTCCCCCTACCTCAAGACACTTTTTCATTTTTCTTTCAGTGGACCTAGGGTAAGACCACCAATGTTCGGACAGTTAAGCTGGTCGAGCCTCATCATTCACTTGTCCCATCTCAACGGTACATGCTGGAAGCTTCATTTTTTTGCCCCTGGGAGCTCAACACTAAGAGGTCTGCGTGCTGTAAAGATGTCCTTCCTACCCTTATGACTACCGATATTGCTTACTAGCGAGTTTGTTTGCCCTTCGGGCAAACAAACTCGCTATGGACGCGCCTTCGGCGCTCTGCGAACTAAGGCATCCGTTTTCGATGCTCACACATACTAATGCGGTTATGCTCCTTTGTTCATGGGTTCAATTCTCGCACCTTTAAAGTGTATGTGTCAAAGAACATATTCTTAATGACGCCATGTCATTTGTAGCATGAGGATCACCAATTATCAATTGTAAGTGTGTTGATTAGTGTTCCATTGATGAATGCAATTTATGTCTATGGTCGAGACACTCTTGATAGCATATTAATCTCCAAAAAAGTTGGATTAATAGCAACCATATAACAACATAAGCTACTTGAGAGTTTTAACACTAAGATGGCTAATATTAAAGATTAATGTAGGCCTGAGCAATGGTGCAAGGGTTGGATATAAGCTTGCTAAAGCATTCCCATCAGGGCAAGTACCACCAATGTCGAACTGTATCTGTAGCATGCAAGCCAACGGCTATTTATTTTCCATCCTGTTTCCTTTGAGTAGGAGTGTGCTTAAGAGTATTATTGGCCTAAGCGTCCATTCATGGGGTAGGCCTAGGCCTGCGAAATTTCTCCCCCAACCCCTCCCACAAAACGTGCCCCCAGGGCATGGACCCCAAAAGTTGGGCATTCGAAGTTAAGACTTTCTCTGGAATCGAAAACCTATCAGCTATTCACGTTCCTTCCATTTTGTTGAAGGCAAGGGGAGCCTGAGAATGGTTTAGGCCTAAGCGTCCGTCTGATGGTTAGACCTAGGCTTACAAAATGAGACTCCCTGGAATGAACCCCCAGGGCACTTACCCCCAAAGTTGGAATTTTTCTGGAGTCAGCAATCTAACATCTATGAACCAAGTTTCAGCCTCTCATCATGTCTAGAACATGGTTAGAATTAGCATCAGTCAGTCACCATCGTCTATATATATTAGAAGTGGAACTTCTTCTTTATGCAGCTATCTGTCAGGAACTTACTTACTTGCCAAGTTTTTTTTTTTAACTTTCATGCGCCCTCTGTTTTGCTGCATCAGAAAAATTCGTGAAAATACTCCTTTGCAAAATATGTGCCCTGAGACGTTTTAGCCGAAATGTACCTTTTTCTTCTTACCGAAATCCTTCCTCAGTGAACTACATGCCCACAACGTTTCAATATTTTACGTTTACCCTTTTCGCTGGTGAAAAAAACATGTTAGGAGAAGCCGATCCACCCTGGATGCCCGGAGGGGATGCACCCTGAAAATTGAATACTCCCTCAGCTCAGCAGTATCATGTCACTTATACGTGTGCCAAGTTCAGCTTTCCAGTTCTGTCCAATTCGGGGAAAATTCCCCCAGAGGATGTATCGAGGCTTAACATTTGTTATTTAACTCCTTGTCTCAGTTTTCACATTCATAAAAAAGTTTCAGCTTTCCATGTTCATCGAATTAAATGATGCAAAAAGAAATTAATTGAAAATATATCCCCTTCAAATTTGTGCCCCCATGGTATTTACTTCCAAAGTCTGACGTTTTCTGCAGCATCCCAATAGGTAGTTGCGTACCAAGTTTCATCTTTCCACAACAGCTGAAGACACCAGGACAAAGAAAAATATTGAAAACGCCGGCTTCTCAAAATATTCCCCAAGGGGGTGGATCTAAAATTTCACATTTTTCCTGAACTCATCGTTTCGTTAGGCACGTCCATGCCACGTTTTAGCTTTCCATTTCTCTCCGTTTTATTCAAGCAATGGGACATGGAAGGCAAGAGAAGAAAAAAAATGCATGGAATTGGTAGGATTTGAACATGGGCCTCACGATTATCAGTCCGATGTGCTACCACTACACCACCGAAACGGGTTATCTCGTATGCAATCTTATCCATCATAATATATATTTTAAAAAAACCATTAGGACACTTTTTCAGTCCCATTTTCCTGATTATCTTTTATCCAACAAAACAGAGACAGAAAAGTATACTTCCATCAGAATTACCTGTTTGACAGCTGAGTAGAGGAAAAATACCAATTTTGGAATATGACTTCTTAGCGTAGATTATTGGAGAGAAGTATTTTAAAATGTATTCTCCTCCCTTAAAAAGGGACACGAAAAAAGATTTCAAGTCAGGCACACATAGAATCATAGACGTAATGATTTTGATAAAAATCAAGACTTTCAACCCCATATGTCATGTAGTCAATATTTCAATGGGGACGTTCTTTAAATCCGTGTTTCCCATTTCGCAAGAAATGTATGAATGAATCATTATCCAAGGTAATAGAGCGCCGAAGGCGCGACAATAGCGAGTTTGTTTGCCCGAAGGGCAAACAAACTCGCTAGTATAACATAAAGCATGAGTGGTAACCTGGAAAAGTATTCGCAAAGGGTGAGATGAATCCACTTTCAAAATTGTAATATTTCATTCAGAAGGTTCTATACAATTACCAATATATCGGTAATTGTGTACAAGTTCTAAATAAAGAAATAACTAATATGCAAAATTTATTTACTAATTTCATGTCTTTTTGCTATATATTCATGGTTCAATGCATTTTCTAGTTACATTTTATAAATTGCTTGTACCACTAATAGCAGTCACATACTTGACTCAGAAAACAACAGGAAATGTAAATTATGGGTATACATGTGCATAGCTTGTGGTGCTGGTGATAGTATTCAATTCTTGCTTCTGTACTAGGCTACATCTGGCACCTACCACACACTGCCCTCGTGTTAATGAGTTTCGTTGGTTTGATGACGAAGAACGTCTTCACACACATTGTCCAGAGTGTCCTCTTTGTCAGGTTGATCCATAATCAAGTTGATCCTGACAGAATTATGACTCTAATGTTCAGTTTGCTCCCAGGCCTTGCATTTATTTAAAATATACTCGTATTTATAAGCTCAATGCATCATTTTTGTTTATATTAGCTAAAGCGTCATAAAACATTTTATACTTGCTTGAAAACGCAAATCCAGAAAATCAAGGAACCTAATGGATTCCTTGATTTTGGCCCTGCAGCTTAAAAATGAAATGGATTTATCTCACCCTGTTATCAGCAGTATTTGGAATTGGAGCGATGAAATACAGGAATGTATGGGGAATTTTTCATGAGAAATTAAAGCATTGCTGGTCATTTCCTGACAAGACTTGAGACAACTTAGAATCGGTTACGGAACTTCACATTTAAAATGTTTAGTCCTTCAAAAAATAGGATTATTTTGAGCATGAAAAACATTGCAGATGACGTGGTAGTCGAATTTAATTGCTAATTAATGCACTATTTCATATAATAATATGAAAAGTGTCAATCTCACCTCAAAGAACTTCGGAAAGAATACCAAAAATAAATTGTGAAAAAAAATACAATGGGAACTATATTTTTGCAGCTACTTGAATCTCTTTTTTTGTTCATCTCACCACCGTAGGGTCACTTCACTCCATTCTACGCTATATCGATCGACATCGTTTAATAGAGATCATACAAACTGCTAAAGCTTTTACGTGTTCAGCCTCCTCGCATCCAAAACAGAGCAAGGGCCTGCCGCCACAAAGTTCACCAGCGCAGAGGCAGACTGAATGACTAGCCAGGTCAGTTGATACTGTTAATGAGAAAACCAGACCGCATCTGAATAAAGAATAATCGCGTGAAGTAATTATTACTTACAGGAACTGCTATTATTTTGTATTCAAATCATCTCTTTCGGGTATTTGCATGTTGATGAATGAGTTTGATGCAGGGAAATGACTCCTCCTATTTCTTTGACTTCTACGTCCTTATATTTTTCTCGTTCAACGTTACTCATTTCTTTCTAATTCAGTGATTGTACATTTGGAAACATTTGTAGCAGTAAATTATCACGATTTAGAATGCAAAGAAAGATGCAGGGTATATTAAATTCATTGGTTTGCAATTAGGGAGACCATGAGAAGTACAGACGAAGCGGGTGTCAAATTTCGTTTCATTCTCTCACATGTCTCATTGTTACCTTTAAAAGAGGATGCCCAATATAATGTCATTTTGACCCTTAAACCGAATTCAATGAATCATATATCATTTGAAAGGATGTCTTTTGCACAGTAATAAAATGTCACTTTTACTTCAACATTAAGGGTTTGAAGAACTTAGGTTAGGTTTGGTTACGTTACAAATAAGTTAATTTGGTCAATTTACGTCAAGTTACATGAGTCTTAATTTCATCCAAATCGTTTTAAGGCCAAAAATGAGGTAACCCAACCCTAACCTAACCTGAACTGAACCTAAACTTAACCTAACCTAACTTTTTCAAATTGCTCAGATTTAAAAAAAATTATAATTTTAGGTTCGGCTTAAGAAGACCTCTCGAAATGTACACATATCTTTGATGTTGGTTTAAGAGCCAAAACTGGGCATACTCTTTTAAAACATTAGTTCTTTCGTACTGCTATTGCCATTAATATAGTTAGGATCCTTAAAAGAGTCGAACTCACATAGGATGATTCGAATGCCTATGGCCTTGGCTCCTGCACCAGGAAACAATGAAGTTAAAAAATACGAGTCCTACCAGTTGCTGGGTAAAACAAAGCAATTCTAAATCCTGTTGTGTATTGCGTGAGTGCGGGTAGGGAATGGGAAAGTATTTTTCTCTCAACGCCGCCAATTAACCTGGGGGTTGAACCCCTCACGATAGAATTGTCGCCATCGTGATGAAATCAATATGAACACAATACGGTTATCTGGAAACGAGATATCTCCGGGGAGATATCACATCATGTTCAACGACGTTTGTTCTATTGATAGATTTCTGAAGGGCATTGCGACTGGAGCTCAGAGGTCCATGGGGAAAAGATTACAGGGGATCATTTGTTGGCACTCGATAATAATGAAATCTTGACAAGATCGTTCTTCCTTCTCTCTGAACTACCAGGAGCCAAAGAAGTTTCTCACCCTCCAGATCTGCACTTTTATCAGGAATTCCACGGTCAGATATCCAAGTTCATCGTTTCCTAGAATTCTTTAGAGTATCAAATATATTTTGAAGAATTCTGATCTAGGTTTTCTCTCATGCAGATCTTCCTTTGCCGGTGTTCGCACATTACAAGATCCACCCTGTGTCCAAACAAAGCTAAGTCACCACTTCAGGATATTCTATAGCAACTGAATTTACCACATTAAATATAAACGTAAACCCACTCGTACTGGACGCTTCTCTTCATTTCTACAGCACTTCTCACTCTACTTACGAATTATTGACGGGAAATTCGAGTAATAGTCAATACCTATTAATATGCATTCAAAGTATGGGTTACCATAGTGGGCAACAGATAGAAAATCTCTTATGAGTAAGATTTTGAACATATAGTGATTTCCCATTGTAAAATACCACCCTTTCAACCGATTTCTTCGCTTTACATGAATACTTTCACTTTCATATGTTTGAGCCGTAGCTTTCAAAGTGAATCTAGTTCTTATGTTATATTCTGATATTATACTGTAGAAACTAAAAATTGAAAGTAAGAGTTCATGTTTCATTAGAAATAGTGAATCAGCTGCCCCTTCGGCGATGCTAGTGAAAATTACAAACAGAAGGAGGTTGCTTCTTTATGGATGCTTCTTGATTCAGCTGCTCACCCAACTGATCCAGCTGTGAAGATATAAAAGCACTAAGCTCTCTCAATCATTGCGGTGGCAGTGGCCATCTTTTTGATGGTGGTGGCTATCTGTGTGTTGAAGGAGTACTTCGGGCTTCACACCTGCGCAGCAGGTGTCACCAGCAACGTTTCCTCGTTCAATGGCTGCCAGCTCCATGGCTTCAGCCATGTATCGAAAGGTGTATAGAAAGTGATTAAAAACGGATAAAGTAATTTGTCCCTCCTTGATCATTTTCACCTTCAATTACCGCTGCACACACTGTTACCTCGTCGTGATAGGCCAATGGGCCTACCACGAGGGGATGAAAGTGTATGAAGGAGTACTTGTTTGTAGTAGGCCTATGCTTCGTCATGTTCGAATAATTTTCATGCCCTGGGAAATTATGATTATATTTAGAAAAATCCACATTGCCTCGAAAGAAGACACTGGCCAATCGTTTAAGATAAATTATATACATGACCCAAAGAAAAGAGGCCCACCCTTTAACACTCAAATTTTCGTATATGGAGAGCTATCTATAGAATCGGTTTCCAAGATAATGTTCGTTACGTTACAGGATTCAAGTAAGTAAAATAATGCAAGACGTTTTATTGCGTGCTGAAGCAGTTCCTCTTCAGGAGAAAACTTATACATTTTGGTGATATTCCCAAGTTATAATCATTTATGGGCAATAATGAAGTTTAATGTAGAGTACAACAGTAATTTTCTTCCTTTTTTCAACTGAGTCTGGACAACAACATACTGTATGTCTTCTCAAAGGGGCTAAACTCTTACATTGATGTGCATTAGAAGAACTTGCCTACATAACCTATTGGATATTAAAACATGTTGGCCTTTAACTAACAAATTTGCCTTTTTGTAATTGACAGTTCCGAGTTAAAGTGAAGCCAAGTTCCTCAGTGATGCCTTCCACGAACTTCGTTCTCATATGGATCAAACTCGAGTTTCTTATCATGATTTGCAACTGTGAGTTGGATTGTCTCTGTTCAGTTTGAATGCCATTATTTCGAATCTTCCAATGATATATGCACATATTCTTGAAATGTCATCAGCCATGCCATTATGCGATGCCTCAGCCTCAAATATCATCACTTTCGCTGCCGTTCCCACCATATGGCGCGTTCGGCACTGCCAACCCCCACTGCTGTGCTAGGCAAGGATAGGCTGGTTAACCCATTTGATCCTCGGGAATCCATCCCTTGTCATCTTCGTTTCCTATAAACAAATAGGCAACAGGATATTAAAACCAATCATTGAGACTTTTCAAGCCTCTCTAGGGCACCCTGGATACTCTGGAGCTTACCCTTTTCCCCACCAAGGTGAACTCAGTTTGTTGTAAAATTGTATGCTCCTTTCAGGTGATTTCTCATTAGAAAGATTATTACTTCTCATGATAGGTTAAGTGCATCTCCTTAAACTGCACATGATGTTGTCCTACAGTGGAGTTCCGTTGCAAAATGCATAGAGCAAACTAAGGAGGAACTGAACATGAAACCGTCTACTAGAAATATCGAGTGAAATCACAGAATATTCTGTGCAGGAATACGGTTCCCTTAGTTGTAGCAACGGTCGAGCATATATCAAGAGAGGGAACTGTAATTGATTCTCTCCAATTGACCATCACACTTTTTTGCAGCATGCAACTATAGGAAGCACACATGCATTTCTAAACCTGTTATTGCAACTGAGCATGGCATAAGCGGTAGGATCAATATAGCGTTACAATCCATGTGAATGTACTCTGCTCTTCCAGGTGAAACAGATCATGCTACTGCGCTTAAACAGCTTCATTTCATCATGAAGTCCACTTTTGTGAATATTCAGCTCTTTATCGATCTGCTGGCAGAGAAGGACCTGATTTCTTTGCCGAACGAGATAGATCTAAGAGGCAAGACCACGTATGAAGAAACAATTAATGGAGCTTTCCATCTGCTACGTCAAGAGCATCCAGAGCGAACATATCATCTCGTCTTGGATATTTTGAAATTAATGAGAAGGGATGATATAATTAATAATCTTCAGAAGAAACTGCAGGGAACATCAGAGCAATGTAAGCAGCTCATCATCTCTCACCATAGAACTGACGTGTTACTTTTGCTATTGCCTCAGAGGTTTCTTCAAATGGAGTGTGATACCTGTGCCACTCAATCCTTCGAGAGAGAAAATGAGAATTTATTTGAAATCACTGAGAATTCATTACACTCAATATATTTGATCATAAAATTCCTTAAAACGTATGTGGAGATTTCTATTATTATTTTCTGAATCTCATTTTTTCTTTTCTTCTAGAACCTCGTCATATGATAATAAATTTTCAATCTTGGAAAGTAAGAGATCGTACGTCGCATGATAGAGCAATAATGGCGCAAAATAACCTTGTTCAATCTTCTTTGAACTAAGTTCACTTAGTGCTCAGAAATCGTTAATTAAAACGTGATGCTGCACTTTCGCAAGTAATTTTCAAAAATTTTTATTATAATACCTGAAGATAATAATGTTTGTAACGAAAAAAGAAAGTCCAGATTCAGGAAAACAAATTTTCAGACATGCTTTTGAAAAATGTGATTACCTAAGATGTTACATCTCGACATTTGACATGTTACATCATTGCATGTGGCACAAAATTGTCATCCTCATTGCTGCTAGCATTGGGTTGTGGCGAAACAGGTACAGGGACTTGTATTATAATGCAAAAACATTACTTGTTTCAAGAGAAGATACGGCGTCTTTTTTCGAAGTAAGATTTTCAGTTTCATTATTTTTTTACATGAAATTGCAGAGTTTAAACTTTAATTTTCCGACTAAAATCTACCACTAAGGAACGACGAAGTCTTACTCCCTCTCCTCGTGGACATTTCCTTACTTTCGTGTATGTAGTGGGTTAGCCAGGCCACCTCAGTAACGATTCAACTAAAACATTCGTTCCCTTGCTCGGTGTACAGATTCAACAATTCAAATTTAGCCAAATTAATGTAAGTCCTTTTTGGGTCGTTTTACAAATGAGTAGCAACTTTTCGCACGCCTTCCTGTAGTCCTACTCCAGCCGGAGTTCCTGAATAGTGAAATGCAGCGAAACGAGCAAATGTCAAGTTTAAATTTGGTCATAATCTCCATTTAGGAATGCTCCTCTCAGGGAAAATCATTTGATTTCGGGTACGAGAGCATAGTATTTGAGAGGGGAGAGGGTAATTCAAAAGTATTCCCTCAAAAAAGAACATTTTGCATGTTATTTCTTTAATTATAAGTAAATCTAAGTGAATGAACATTTCCAAGACATATGTCTGGGGGGGGGGAAGTTGTGAATCTCCTTTTGTATTACATTGCTGGCGTCAAGTTGTCAAATAGGCGAGAGCAGTGGCGGCTCGTGATATTTAGCGCTAGTGGTTTGTCTATGGAAAGGGGGTAGGCAGCGACCTCCTCTGCCTACCCCCTCTCCATAGACGAATCACTAGCGCTAAATATCACGAGCCGCCACTGGGCGAGAGTAACTTGGGGCAGCACAAAATGCTTGAATCCCATGTAGTAACACATCACTTCAGGATGTGTTAGCGTCGAGAGCGCGTGTTAGCAATGAAGTTTTCATTATTTTTTACGTCGTCTAGCGAAGGTGAAATCATGGCGAGTTTGTTTACACAGTAACAATAGCATTCACGTCCGTTTCCTGTTAGGAGGGGGCACGAACAGCAATGAAACCTCTCCACTTATCTCTATGTACACCTCCGTGGCTTCAGGCACATCCACACCTATTTTAATATGCACTCGCCTGTTCCTCACACTCCTAATATCCCTCTCTTTCAGCTCTTCAGCCACTTGGTCCAGCCAAGTCTTCCTTGACCTACCTTTATTTTTCTGTCCATCCACGATAGCTTCATACAGTCACCACCACTCATCACTTTCATTCACCATTCATCCTTTCCACATGACCGAACCAAAGTAACATCCTTTTCTGAACCCAACTCACCACATTCTCCTTCACGCCACATCCGTTAAACACCCACTCATTCTGCGCCCAGTCTCTTCAGATCTTTCCAAGTCACTCTCCTCAGTATGGCATTGTGGCACGAATTTACGCTAACGATGGAAAAAATTCATTGTTTTCGCGTGCGGGATAAAAAACGGAAGTCTTCTTCCGGTTGGTATGCATATAGAGGGTGAAATTTAATTATCTCCCAACATTCATTGAATAGTGCTATTATATACAGCAGTCCTAATTATTTATGCATGTGCAGTTTTACAGATTAAACTTCAACTTAGATTTCATGTTCTTATCTAGATGAGCATCCACTTGACAACTGAGCAGCGAGTTAATGCTCTAAAGCAACCATATCAAACCCAAAATACTCTGGAAGCCGCTCGAGGACTTGGGCATGAATTTGGTTGTCCTCAACCAGCGTTGGAGGACAACCAAATTCACCAGATTGCCAACAGATTGCACAAATTCTTATTGCTCGATGGTGCTCAGACTGAGTTTTTGTAGAATCTGAGATTTTCTGTATGAGTATCCTGTTCATTTAACTAGTTGTTGGTGTTGAAAACTTATATTCCTTTTACACGGAGTCTTTTCAGCAAACACTCAAGCGATTCGCAGATAATTAAAATTCACCCCGTATGTGGCCAGGAGCGTCTGCATATTTGGGCATATACATTTTAAAAAGGAATACTTGAGGTACTAATGTACCATGGGAAAGGTTTTATCTGTTGGTAAGAGTAGTGCATGCTAAAAAAAAATATTGTTTCAAGTTTCAGATGTGGAAGGAGATCAAGGATCATCACCACTTCAGCAGTGCATGAATGATCCAAGGGATGTCCTACGGAACGTCCTACTTCTCATCAGACAAATCATATTAAGCAGAATCATTATAGTCAATTTTGCCATGGTTCTTTTCATCTTCAAACGCCAAATGCGCCTGAGAGCAGGCCAGCATCACTTCTGAATATATTAGCATCCAAATAAAAAATTTCGCCAGCTTTCTCATGAGATGCAGCAAAAATTTCTGGAGAGAAACCCTTCTATTCAGATGTTGTTGCCATCCAGATTCGGCGTCTCCTTCAAAGTATACCCCTTAGGACGCAATACCTTGTCGTCATTTTTTAAAGGCTCCATTCAATCACATGACGTCAGGAATTCTGACATGGTATGAACATTGATATCATTTTTATGGTATAGAAGTACTGGACTGGACCTTAAATAATTCCTTTGGAATATGAAACTGGCTCCTCCTTTGGGAGGACCTCATCTGTGACATTTTATTCTTCCAATAACCGAGCCTACATATAAATTAATGCATAATAGAAACTCCAGGAATGTAAATAAAAGGCCACCAACTCACAGAGAATGGTGCAAAAGGGAAAAGCAGACGACGAAACTTTAATAATAAAAAAATGCCACTATCCTCCTATAACCGGAACCATTAGACAGTTTTCCATTTCCAAAGTCAATAGATGATCTTTATTTTCGAGTCCAATCACATCCCCAAGATGAAGCAGAATGAGAACTGTTCTGAAAGCTCTCTAGTCATATTTGTACTTTTCATTGTGAAATGCGTTTTAATGTGAGAAAAACATTATATTTACCGATACACATTAAGCAAACAGGGAATGTCAAATAACTCGAATTGCGCAAGATGAACGGAGACGCTGCAGAAGAGGGTAGAATGAACTATTGGAGTTCGGGCGGGTGGCGGAGAGAACATCTGACGCGACCTTTAATGTTTCTTGTCATTGCATATGAAGGAAAACGTGTATTTGCTGAGGCTGGAAGGTATCTTGCAGAGGGGAAAGGTGCTGCCAGGAGAAAAATAGCTACTTCCGACCATTAGGTTTGGAGTTAAACCCCATTCTTGTGCGTGTTGAATTTCTCAGAAGACGACATTAGGTGACTTGTAGGCATTATTGCTCCCTTCCCAACATGAAAACGGAAGATTGGACAAGATTCATTGGGGGACTTAAAGGAAAAATTGCTGGCTGCCCAGGCGAGTAGTCTGAATTTAACCATTAAGAATGAAGAATGGAAGTCATTTTTGAAGCCTCCTTCTCAAGGTCAAGATATTTCCATTCCGGAAGGAGGGAGACTGCGCAACAGGCGCCCCAGCGTCTTGCTCGACAGTCGCTTACAAACCTAGAGAACATTAATGAAGATGAAATGAATCAGGGTATCTCCTTTCTTCCTAGCTGCATGCTAAGGTCCATGAAATTGTACTCCCCAGCATATCTCCTTATTAGATAGGATGGGTCAGCAGAGTAGTTTTTTTATTTACCGAACTTCACTCGTGAATTAGCTCAAACTTCTGGTCAAAGAGACGCCTCTCTTGATATATGCCAAGATGGATCTCCATGCCTTCCTCAGTGACCCATGATCCTGAATTGTAATCAGTGTGCGATTTCACAGATCTTTGAGCTTAACTCAAAGCTAGCGCAAGGAGCCAAAACTTAAGTCAAAAGCACTTGGTGTTTTGGTTATGTTTTAAGTAATGCTTAGGCTTCGTACGAAGGAATGAACTCTGAATGTACACAATATCTGAAGGATATCCATTAATGGTCATCCCAAAGGAGTTCCAGCCGAGGACAAAATCCCCATGCCTGATAGTAGACTTTAACCCTTTGAGGATCATGAACGTCCATACTGGCGAAGGGTTAAAAAAAAAACCGGTCCTCAAAGGGGTAAAGGGTTTCCCTTTTGAAAAAAGTTGCCACAGTCGAGCTTGCTCATCCTGCATGCAATTCGCACTGTCTCCTGTAGCATTGTCTGAGGTTCAGCAGGTGGTTATGGTTCTTCCTTGTCCTGTTTCCGCTTCAAGTTGCTCCGACGGTATTGGGATGTCCGCTGAGGCGATAACGCAATCGTCGGTATGTCAGGTGGCAAGTTTTGAAGAGGTCTTGTGCGAGTGAAAGCACATTGTCATCCTTCATGCTTTTTGGTACCACTGTTCCGTGACGTCAGCCAACTTCACGACGTCATTTGTCGATCCCTCCGATGCCGTGGTGTTAACAAAAAGAAAACGTTGGTACTCGGGGAACAGTTCACCCCGGATCCCACCATGTGTCTTGAGGCATTCATTAAGCTTTTGCTTCCCAGCAATAGAAAATCCAAAAAAGCCACATGGAAGAAGAGGTAGGAGAATGCTGGTGCTCGATGTATCCAGGCTTGAGGAGAAGAATGCCAAAGAGGGAGAAATATTCGTACTTGGGGCTAAGGGGTATGTTGGCAATGAGTGTTGAAGTGATTGGGACCATAGGCTTCATACCCACTCGTGAGGCGCTCTCGTGCATAGCAATAAGGAAATTCTTGAATGCAAAAGAGGCGCCTGGTCTTTTGGATACGTAAATTGAGCAATGGCTGCTTGAGGAAAAGCAATTATTCAAGTGCCTATTTTCACTTATACGGGCTTAACCCTCTTTATCCCGATATGCAGACATCTCAGTGGAAAACAATTAATAGAAACTATGTTTAATCGAGAATAATATGAACTTTCGCTATTCACTATCTGAGACACCTGCCTTCTCAGGAAAAAAGTAATAATGGTGTATTGCAAGCGGAAGTGCCTCAGACGCAGAACTTTTTGAAACCCCCTTCCTAGACGACCTTTACTGCTACATCACTGGAATTGTTTGTGAAGCGTTTCATTTCTATTGTGTTCTCCGTATTGTAAATGAGACTCCATTGATCATGGCGTTAAGTAGCCGAAAAAATGTGTCTTTTGACGATATTTTTGAAATATTGATGATAAATAGAAACGACGAATCCGGTTTTTTTTAAGAAAGGGACAATGAAAGTGACGTGCTTTGCGATTCTGGAAGTGGCAGTGATCTTGTAGTGGATAATTCAGAAGCTTCAGAGAGTGGAGTTAATGACAGTGCCAGTGAGAGTGCTAGTGCTCCAGCTCCAGCAAAGAGGTGCAAAAAACACGAGGGCGTTCCGCAGGGCTTCGTCATCGACTGTCGATGGACGTCCTGAGCGTGGTCGATCTCTGATGGTCGTCTCGCCAGATTCGAAACGTTTCAACCATCGAGACACCGTGGAATAGTGGACGACGTTCCCGTTGAATGCAGCGCAAATGTTGTCCGCGGCGGTTCTCGCAGAGTGTCCTTGGAGGAACTCGTAGTAGACGATGGCAGCATTTCATTGATGTCGATTCTTCGTCGGATTTTCAATTTTAACCAAGTCTCCACGTTTCAACATTTTCTCAACGTTAACATAACGTGGCTGTGCCGACTGGGAAAAGTTGACTGCGATTTCCTTGCCATTCGAATTTAACCCTCATCCGGGCGAGGTAAAAGACGAACGTAAGCAAGCAAGGGGCATATTATTGATACTTTAAGTATATACTGTGGGGAAACAGAAGACAAAAACACGTTCATCACGAAGAAGCGTCTTTCCTTCATTGATTCCGATGAATTTCAAAAGCAATGCAACATTATTTTGCATCCGAAAAAATTTATTTTTTTTTTACCTCAAGTGAAATTTGGATGGTAAAATGAAGGTATAAAAAAGGTAAGTTTCCCGATTAAAAAAAAAACGTTTCTCTGAATTCTACCACTACCGAATTTCACTGCGATACTTTACCGCATTCCTATCTGTAATTTACCCATGTTTCATTGTTCCCTTCTTTTTTTCTTTGGAATTTTTTTACTGTGTCTTACCAGCATTTACATTTACCTTTCACCTGTAATTCACAATTTACTACCTTTGGGGTACCTTGAGGCCTTGGGGTCCAAAGAACGAACTCCCCTTGCCCGGATAAGGGTTAACTTGTATGCACTTGCTCTCGTACAGGGCGAACAAAATGGTTCGGATCGCAGTTATGAAAGCCATATCTTCATAGTCTAGAAGCATTACATGACGTGCATCCGATCCGACAAGTTAGAAAATTTTATCAGAATATCGTAGAAGGAAGGAGCAATAACCGAAACTAAGCATTATACTGATACCCTCTCATCAAGAACAGGCGACAGTAAGGGAACTTGATCTGGAGTAAGGAGTCGATATGGGTCTACGCGCTTATTCACGTTTCAACATAACTTCGAATCCTGAACCCATCACTGCACTGCATCGTGCGTTGGAAAGCCATGGACAATCATAATTGAATTTCCTAATGAGATTCGTTAAACAAAGCATGAATGTTCAAAAACGTTCTAATTCCTTCACTGGAGAATCTTTTCGAATAGCCAACGCTTGTAAATTACTATAGTTGCATGAGAGCTGGCATTGTTGCAACGCTATTAGAGGGCAAATGTTGTGACTCCTCACATTTTTTCCGAGAAGAATCAGGCAAAAATATTTTTTTTTTTAAGCTAGAAGGATGCAATCACGTGTAAGTTTTAATAATTCCTTCTTTTTTTTAAATTGTCGAATAAACTATTGGAAATAATAATTTATCAAATGACCCAGGTAGCTGTAAACATTGATTCAACGTTGATATGGTGTGGATTGAATGTATCAATGTTCATTGTTTATACCACAATGTAACACCAACATCGACTCGATGCCGCGACGGTCACCGTTTACGCACCTAGATTGAGCCAAGGTGGCTTCAATACTGCAGAATTCATGGTGGAAGGATCCACATCAAATCAACATTCTTTGATTGGGTTCATTTACAGACCATATCCCTCGTGTGTTGTATCTACCGTGGAATACTTTTTATTGTACTCTATCGGTGTTCGTCTAATAGTTCAGTCGATCGGCCAGAATGCATTTCACTCAATAAAAATGTTCGCTTTAGTACAGAAAAGACAGGAGCTGAAATGGGACTTGGAGAAAATTTTATCGCATCAAATAACCAGAAAGGCCATTTGGAGTATAATCAAATTCTCGTGTGCATCTGACATGGGAGAGTTGTCTCAAGACATACTGAATGTTGCTGCAAAATATAATTAGATTGGAAATCATATCGTTCTTGCGCTACTTTTAGCTATTGAAATGAATTGAAGTCTTCAATTATCGAGTAATATATTCATTGGCTAAAAATATTTCAAGAACGATATGATTTTCAGTCCAACTCTATTTTGCAGCAACATTCAGTATGTCTTGAGACAACTCCCCCGTGTCAGATGCACACGAGAACAATTTTCCTGAACCGCACTGCTTTCCCCTACCTTCTCCTACATATAATCCACATATGTCTGCTGCAACAAAAATGGTAAATTCTTTGTGCCCTGTGTGATGCAAGTGGTAGATTTTTTCGCGAAAATTCTATTCTACGACCTGATACGACCTTTCAATGCGAAGGTGGCTGAGTTGTCTTATTCAAAATTGTAATACAGTAAAAATCGTTACCTCGAATTCTGATGAGTGGAATTTCCGCTCATCTCCAAGTTCAATGCTTGGTCCCGTCAGAAACCCGGATTAAATACATAAAAGTATTCCATTTAATTCGAATTCGCTTATCTCGAATTCCTGGATATCTCGAACGACATATTCACTCCCGATTACGATTTTCTCAAGGTTAACTCGAAATCGGGGTGTGAAGGGGGACCTATTTATTATGGGACCAATCGATTAGTTGAAAAGGTGAAAGGTGAAAGGTTCGAAACCCATTCGGGAGAAAATCCTTTTGCTTCTTTTTTTTCTGTTTCTCCCTCCTCCCTCACTGAGGAGAGGATTAAACCTGAGGATTAAAACCGAAAAGCTTCTGCTATGAAAAGAAGTAACCTCTAGCATTTTCCCTATCTATCGCTCTCACATCCGGCCATTCCAGTCATCCTTGGTTTACAGAGTACCGGATGAAGGGGGTTGCGATGAATGAATTTTGCATATGGAATACCGAAGTTTCTTTAGACATGAATAAAAGGCAATTATGAAAGGGTCGTCGCCCCTTGAAATCGGATTTTTGAGGACGGAAAAATCGCCCTATTATACCCCTTAAAATAATTTTTTAACGCCTGATGCCTTACTTAACGCCGATAACGCCTGATGGGTCGAACTTCGGATAACTCGAAACGATTTACCCAGTCCCAAAAAGTTCGAGGTAATGAGTTTTCACTGTAAACGTATTCATGGTGCAACAGAGGTCATCTAGGTTCTCCTATTGGATCACGTCGCCATTTCGTTAAACTCATTCAAAATTACTATTCTAATATTCACTTAGACATCCCAGCGATGGGTGGACGTTGAGGCATAGGAGCAAGGGTAACCAGCTGAGGTCATCTTGCCCAAGAAGTCAGTGAGGATCCCACCGCATCCCTGATACATTGTACCATTCAGGATGGAACTCAGCCCCAGGAACAGGGTCACTACATCCATTAATTGAATATTTGAAACAGATGGCACGAATGAGAACTTCCAGTTGGTCAAAGAGGAAGGCGGCTTTGAATAAACTCAGTGATTACTTGCAAAAACAAGCACGAAAGGTTGACATTTGAAGGGCAATACAGACGGGAGCAAGATCATTGCTGAAAAATTAATATGTGATCATATCAGTAAAACTGTAAGTCAATGTTTGACGAACCCGCCGACATATAGAGAAACAAACGAGGGAACGATCAGGCAGGTTACATATGCGAATGCCACAACTTGACGGATATCCCAGACGCAAGATTATGTCCCGACCTGATGCGACCTTCATGTTTTGAAGGTCGTATAAGGCCGTAGCATAGAATTTGCAACAAAAAACCTACCACTTGCATCTCACAGGGCGCAGAGAATGAGCTAGTTATGTTGTATCAGACATGTAGATTATATGTAGGGGAAGGTTGGGCAAAGCAGCGCGGTTCGGGAAAACTGCTAAAATGAATCATCAAGAAATTGGCGTAACACGTTGCGGATTGGTATGCGGTACCATTCATGTCTTACCTATGACTAGGATTCAACTTCATCGCGAAATCAGCGACGGTTTTTCCCCTCGACAATTCAACCTCGACAATTTGCTGTTAAATACCCCATTTTGGCGCACACATGGGGCGAAATGGGGTGCCTCTGTGGGGCAAAAGGGGGTACGCTTCCAAATATTGTTTTATTAAGTTTTTATTCATAATATATGCATACTTGGGACAAAGAACAGAAGCATCAATGACATATCTACAAAAGGCGAACTAATGATTTTCCACACATTTTTCCGTGTCTTCATTTTATACCTACTTACAAAGTTTACAGAACAGAGACCGCGACCAATCATCCATAAATTGCAAACAGATACTTTCTCTCTTTTCTCCGGGTCTTCATTCTTATTTACAAATGTCAAAGAACGGAAACAGCAATGGAGCATCTAAATTTTTTCTCATGTTTTCCCATACGTTCAACAAATACCTATTTACTGACGCTTCAGAACGGAAACAACAATAAAAACAATGAAACTTTTATGGCAAAACAATTGCTGCTGCTTCAATTCGTTATCCATGTATTCATCATTGATGCAAATTTGCAGAACTCACAGAATAACACGTCATCATCCGTGTCGTCATCGATGACGAGTTCATACACTGTTGATGAGACCATCAAAACGGAAATCTTGCGTGGCCATGTCGATAGCCCAATCAAAAATCTCAATTTCAGCTGGGGTGAAAATCTTCTCAATGGGGATTCGATGCTTCTTACACCAGGCAACGGTGATTCTCGGATCCAAGTAGTAGATTTTGGATACATTCAGGGCTATTTCCTTTCCTTTTTTCATGAGAGTTTCCTCCCTTAGGAGTTCGCGTTTTTCCTCTCTCAGCTTTTCAAGGATCTTTTTCTTCTCTTTCACGATTGTCTTTTTCTCCGGAGTTTTCGATACCTCGTAGGCCTTTTCTGCTCTCTTGAGTGTCTTTTCAGCATCTTTTATTGCTTTCGCTTTTTTTTGTATCTTGCTTTTGAGGCTCTTCATTGCATTGTCATCGTTTTTCGAGGTGGAACGTTGATGGTTGCAAAGGAGTGCTGCACCTTTGTTTGCCTGATAGTAAGCTAAGATTTTTTCTTCGTCAGTTCCAGCAGAAACGGTTAATTCATCAAGCTTTTTCTGCAGGGTCATGGATGCGTTATACGTTCGGAATACCTTTGCAGTTAGCCCTTTCATTTTCCTCTGCAAGTAGCGGTTGAGCTCAGCCGCATCCAGCAGATGGAATAATTTGTCTCCCTTTCGCTTGTTTTCCATGATTAGCTGAAAGGCTTTGAAAACTCCATCCTTAACACTGACCTTATTCCGATACGGAACCGAATCTTTCCCGAGGAAGTTGAACGTAATATACTTCATACCGTCTCGCTCTTCCCTGAGTTTGATATGTTGAAAACGCAGCGTGCAGCAACCCACAGTATCTGCCGTTTCCCCCTTTTCCTTTTCGTTTCCGACTCGCAGAGCTAGTTTGTCGATGAGGTACATCGCGACACCCCTCTGCTTGGTCAGCATGCCCTCACCCTGAATGTGTTCCCAGTACTTGTTTCGAATTTCGTCAATCTTGCTGTGGAGCCTTCGAGCAGTTTCATACTTCCGCAAATCCATTTGACCCTTCAGATCAGATGAATGGCTCAGTGTGACATACTTATAACAGTTCCCTCCCCTGATTGGGTCTTTCCAGCGGGCTAGCCAGGTCTCATTCGGATCGTGGCACACGCTTCCCCATTTGTGACCTGATGGTGCCGTTGGGATTTTGGAATCTTTGCTGCAATTAATTGTGACGTCTTCTGGCATGATACGAGCCTTAAATTTCCCCATCACCTTTCTCCCTCGACCACGAAACAGACCGGGTGGTTCAACCTTGTAGTTTTTTATGCGCTGGCGGCGGCCGTCGACGATGCAGAATCCATACTTCTCCTCGATGGCCTTCTTTTCATTCTGCAATTCCACTTTTTCATCCTCTGACATGTTCTTCTTCTTCTCTTCGACCTTCATGAAATGAGCACTAATCTCCTGGAAATTACACATTTCAAGCTCCTTAATGATTTTGCGTTCTTTCTCGGTCATGACTTTCCTCCAGTCTGTCCTAAAATTCCTTTTAAAGACGCTTTTCACTGAAGATTGATGATTCAACATTTTTGCATATAATGTGGCTACCTCCTCCGCCCGAGGAGACAGCATCATCGGGTTCTCGTCATAATAAAACGTCACGTCTTTTGGCAATGGCTCGTACTCAGGAGCAAAAACTGGACCGTTGTGTTCCAGGAATGTCCATCGGGCGCGATTATCACTTTTACCTTCTTTCCACCATTTCCGTCTTTCTTCCACGTTCTTCTTCTCTTCCTTACTCGTCGAGGCTCCACGGTTGACGTCATTTTTCTCTCCCTTGCTTTTCTTTTTCGGGATCGTCTCACCGTTGCTACCATCATCATTTTCCTCGTCATTTAACTTTCTCCGTTTTTGCCCTGTGCTGCTGGATTCGCGGCCCTGTTTTGAAAAATAAATAATAAATGCCTTTATACGCCGACCCCCCCAAAAATACATACGATGATCATTTTCTGTACTTATCACAAAGTTGAAGCAAAACTATATGTGCATAAAGCGCACTATTTTGGTTTCATACCTACAGTCGCAGGGAGGAGGAAGAATGAGTGATAACTAGCTTAAATTGACCTTAGATTGGAACATTTCATCTTTCGAGGAGGCGCAATCATCGGTTTTAGGTGATGATGAAAGTCACCTCAGTGTTTCTGATGCCTTAAGAAACTGCACGGATCATTTTGCTGTTGCACCTGACCATGATTAAAAAATGAATGTTTCAACTTTTTAATTGGTCACATGACTACACCAATGAACATTTTTATTTCTTAAGTCTGGTCAGACTTCAGTTGTGTTGTGTTGTGTTAACGTAGACTCACTTGAGAAGTGGAGGGCCTCTCATCAGTCACCATCCTCTTTGCGAAAGATAGAAGTCTCTACTATCCTGTGAAAGATAAGCAGTGAAGAACGACTTATTCAATTATTTTCACTCCATAATAAGAAAAATTTGAAATGACTTCAAGCATATACCCTCCCTCCCGAAATAAAAAATGATAATATGGACGATGATGAATTCCTTTTTAAAAGAAGCGTGCATTGAGCGACCAATGTACCCAGTGCAATGCATATCAATTTCTTCCAATTCGTCGTCGCTACGTCACGACACGAATGTGAACGTTTTCATTTGCAGACTCAAAAATATATAACGACGTCTGCTCTCTCAACAGCCAACAGTCATACTTATGCTTCAATTTTTTGCAATTATTGCAGTTGAATCACTAGTGGAGATTTTAATAAACTTAACTGAAATGTTTCTTGTTCATCTCATACTTAATTGCTGGAAAATTTGAGGCACATGGGAAAATAGGATGGAGATATTGAATAAAATAAAGTGGCCTCATTTTTTCAGACACAGAGAAGATATTAATAGCCACAAGGCATACACTTTTCGAACGGCTTGATACTCGCACAGAACTCAGAAAAAGAACTGGAGATGACGCACCCATAGGAAGAGTATGTTGGGATCAGGACGGTTCGTCACCATTCCCCTCCAGGGACGGATTAAGGGGGAAGCAAAGGGGCAATTGCCCTGGGCCCCACTCTTCCAGGGAGCCCCGATGGAAGTTGATAATGTTAAAATTAAAAGAAAGTATTGTATTTGCGTAAAGTAGCGGGGAGGGGGGGGGGGGGGGGGCCCCAGGAATTCACTTGCCCCGGGCCTCTCAACTTTTAAATCCGACCCTGTTCACTTGTGTGAGATTTTCCCTGGCAGGTCACATGCGCTGATTCATCGAGGTTAAAGCAGGCCTGTAGTGCGCATTGGCGGGGAAATGGAGCGGGAAATTCGTGAAAATTGGAGCAGCTCTTCAGAATGCGGAAGCATGCCCAGGCAATACCCGCCAACACCTTCACTCTTAAAAAAGGGGGAGCGATTTTTCGCAAAAAAAGAGAGCAAAATAGCTAACTCCGGTTTCACCCCCCTTTCACTTTGGAAAAGGAGTGAATTTGCTCCATCACCAAGGAGTAAAATTGCTCTCCTCCTCCATGAGTAAAAACGCACCCCTCTGAAAGTGATGGAGATGTCATGCAAATACGATAAATCCTCATATACTACGTATGTGTCGCTTTCGCTCTCGTACAGGCGATAACCTACCTCTGCCTATACCGAATACAGCACACGTAAGAGGGCGGACCACCTCTTACAGGTTCCGTAGAGTGTCCAAGTTATCACTCCCTTATTATCTCAATTAATTGAGGTATATGATTAAATGACGTTCACGGACACTCTCTTATCATTCTACATCTCCTATGCGGATAAAACCAACGGCGTTCCAAAAGGGTTCTCAATAGGAATGTGAGCTTGTTTATGGCCTGGACTCCATGAATATGTCTTGAATATGTGGATAACAAATGATGAAGTGTCCGTGNTACTGTATTACAATTTTGAATAAGACAACTCAGCCACCTTCGCATTGAAAGGTCGTATCAGGTCGTAGAATAGAATTTTCGCGAAAAAATCTACCACTTGCATCACACAGGGCACAAAGAATTTACCATTTTTGTTGCAGCAGACATATGTGGATTATATGTAGGAGAAGGTAGGGGAAAGCAGTGCGGTTGGTTTTATCCGCATAGGAGATCTAGAATAAATAGTGTCTGTGAACTTCATTTAATCACATATCTCAATTAATTGAGGTAATGAGAAACTGATATCTCGGACACTCTATGGAACCTATAAGAGGTGGTCCACCCTCTGACGCGTGCTGTATAGAGTACAGGCAGAGGTAGGTCATCGCTTGTACGAGAACGAAAGTAACACACTAATATGAGAATTATCGCACTTGCATGACATCACCATCACTTTCAGATGGGAGCGTTTTTACTCACGGAGGAGGAGAGCAATTTTGCTCCTTGGTGATGGAGCAAATTCGCTCCTTTCCCAGAGTGAAAGGGGGGTGAAACCGGAGTTAGATATTTTTACTCATGGAGGAGGAGAGCAATTTTACTCTTTGGTGATGGAGCAAATTCACTCCTTTTCCAAAGTGAAAGGGGGGTGAAACCGGAGTTAGATATTTTGCCATCTTTTTTGAGAAAAATCGCTCCCCTTTTTCTAAGAGTGTAGATCCACTCTAGAAATTAGGGACCCGCACCCATGAAATTAAAAAACCCAAGACATGACGTTCTGACGCCTATGAAACTCCCCCCCTCCCTGATTCATGAGGCTTCCAGTACCGTGACTGCCTTCTGGTAGTCATCATGTTCACAGGAACAAGAAAACCGGGAAGGGAAATTATGAAAATCGCATCGTGAATTGAGAAGAGCCACCATGATCCCAACCACAATGACTTTTGACATTCTATTGTGCGCCACCTCCATTTATTTTTCTTAGATCATAGGCAATTCGTTTCAAGAAGAAGGTAAATGCAGATTAGCGTACATATAGCCCCAGGGTTGAAGCTTCTGGTCTCATGAACTTCGACTCACTCTAGAAATAGAAGGAACGTCTTAAAACTCCACGTTTCATTCCATACGAATGACTCTCAGTTATTCTGTCCTAGAGAAAGAGAGATGAAGAGAGAATCGTGTAATTTAAGTTACTCCAGAATATGTGAAAATGAGGAAAATATTAAGGTATTTCAAATGTATTCGGGTTCAGTAATCGCGAAATCCTATGCGCACACATCTTCAAGGCACTCCATAGTTCTAACTCAATACGTTTTTGCTTCATGTACTCATTTCTAGTTACATACTGTCCTGAAAGTAAAGTTCGAGCTTTCCAAACGCTTCGGACATAGCAACAGATATACTAGTCACAGCATCCTCAGAGAGTGCGTAACACTGTTGCTCAAAAAAATGCAATAAATTGTATTCATATGCATTGTCCAAAGTTCTGGAAAGCTTAAAATGATATCATGTTAAACGAACCTAAAAGAGGTTGGCATTCAAAAGATTTCATTAAAAAGTATTTTAGCAAGCTTGGGGAGACCACGTTGGCGCATTATGGCGCTGTCAATGGAAATTATTGGCAACGTTACCTGTGGAATGCGGAGAATCCTTTATTCACCTGCTACATTCCGCCAAACAATGAAAGGCGAAGTCCTGTGTGTGAGGTTTAGGGCCATTCTCAGAATGCACCCTTTTCACCGTTTCCAAACTGGACCATCTCACTTAGATGCACTATGCAGCTCTAATGCAGTGTTCCTCAAGTTACAGAAAAGTGTTCCTGAAGTTTAACGCACTTCCACCGTGATCTCTCTGGTTCTCCTTCCTCTATCACTTCCAATTGCAGGAGCAATGAGGAAAGCTCGACTATCATAGGTGAACTAAATGACGTGGTACATGACGCGAAGCCACTTCAAGGGATGTGGCGACATGATCGTCATGGAAAAGGAGATATCGGAATTATTTATGGACAACTTAACATGGTTGTAAAGGAAAAACCCGCATCCTCAATTGCCCATGTTATTGGGTGACGTGTTAAGGGTCCTCAGCGCCTTTGCTTTGTAATGAAAGCCTAAGATCGCTTGGTTCCCTTAGAGAGATGCTGCAGTTCATGTCGCAGTTCGGGAAATCCTTGTATTTGCCTTTTTCTGTTGAAGGAAGATAAAATAGGTGCAGAGGAGGGGAATAGGGAGAGATTTAGAGATTAAAAGTCCTTTCCTTGTCAGATCACAATGACTAATTCGAGTGTCTGGCTAGATTCGTGCAAGTCCGCTTGATGATAGAAATGACATCGCATAAAATAGCGATTGCATGATCCACTTCCGTGAGCCATTGCCATAGGCAAATGCGAGTCAAATGACACTCTGATTCGAGGAGTCCAAGTGTAGGCGGCTCCGACGTGAATTAACATTAATGACTCGCGAACGGACCACCAGCGTGTCCGAGGTTATAATGACTCCGTTGATTCCTCGTTTGTAACACAGTGCATTTATTGAGATAACCAGTATTGGGGGAGATCAATAGCGGTAGGGATCAGAATAGGGATATTTAGAACCGTTTTGGAATCTATTGCATCAGGTGATCAATGGACAAGGAATACAAAAGGGTCAATACCTGAATGGATGTTAGAGTGCGATGTAAAGACTTCCAACACTCACTCCCAACCCGCTCAGGGGTTCAACACATGTCCCGAATACATGTACTCGCGATGCCACACACTCTCGATTCTCGTCCCGACAACTGCGCTGCTGCTACTCTCTACACCACACTCTCTGAGCGCAGGAATTATATGACATCACATCGAGCATGCGTATTGTCCAACACGACGATTATTACACGATTACACGACTTCCTTATTAAGAGTACCTCCTACACAAGGCCCAGGAAAAGGGTACGAGCGATTCGCCGAAAAACTGAAGCTAACGCTTAGCGAAATCATGCAAGGCATCGACGAAGCACGACTCCGAGTGGATTTTCTTTTTCTGTTCTACCTTTTCACCTTTTTCACAGATTATGCTCTGAAAGGGAACATTACAGTGCTTGTGAACGTTCAGAGTGTTTTTCCCATACGCGTCTTGCCGCTGGTCTGGTCTTAACGACTTGGGTCTCACCTGAGGCTTATACGAGGGGCTTTTCAAAAGTTTGGACACTGAATGACTTTTTGCACAGAGAATGTCTTGAAACGAACAGAAAATATTTTATTGACCATTTTCAACTCACCAGGAAGTAATTCAAGTCCTTTCAACATAATCACCACCAACTTCAACAAACTTTTTCATTCGGTATATCCAGCGATCAAAGCAGTGCTTGTAATCCTCAGGTTTCAGGGCGGACAGCTGCTCTTGAACTGCTGAAATCAGCTCCCCTCGAGTTGAAAACACTTTTCCAGGCAGGGGCTCCTTCAGTTTAGGGAATAGCCAGAAGTCAAAGGGCGCCAGATCCGGAGAATAGGGAGGTGGGGTCAGCAAATCAATGCCAGAGTCAGCGATGAAGTCAAGAGTCTATCTGGATGTGTGAGCAGGTGCCTTGTCATGGTGGAGAATGTGGCGGCGTAACTCCTTCTTGTGGCGACCATTCAGGATCTTTTCGAGCACTTTCGGTGACAGACTTCAGTGTACCACTCAGAGTTCACAGTCTTTCGTTCTTCGAGGGGAACTGCTTCCACAAGTCCATGGTATCCAAAGAAATTGGCGAACATGGTTCTGCCAGCTGACCTGACCCGGCGAAATTTCTTTGGAGGCGCCGCTCCTTTTTCGGACCACACCATGGATTGAGACTTCGTTTCAGGATCACAGTTGTAAAACCACGTCTCGTCACCTGTCAAGTTTTTTCCAAGCAGATGAAGCCCCTTCATCGAACCTTTTGAGGGACTGGAGGCAGAAATTGACACGAGCTGCTTTCTGCTCAGGCGTGAGCTGGTGGGGGACCCATTTGGCGGCCTTTTTCGAGAAACCAAGATCTTGGGTTAAAATTCGCCAAATCGACGTGGCATCTATGCCTAGGGTCTCTTCAAGCTTTTCGAGTGTAATTCGGCCATCAACCTCAATTGCTGCCTTCACTGCCGCCACATTTGTGTCGTCTGTTGACGATTTTGGGCGTCCTCCACGACAAAGTCTCCACTTTCGAACCGCCGAAATCGCTTGCAAATCATCGACAGAGTTGGAGCTTCATCATCCATAACAGTTTTTAATTTTTCAAAAGACTTGGCGGGCTTCAGGCCACACAGGAAGTCGTAAATAATGAACGACCGGATGAGCTCTTTTGTGAAAACTGGTTTCTCATCGCGACCGGAAGCACTCGAATTTTTGTTTCTCGTCTCCATTGTTTCCTGGAGGCGAGAAAAATGACTGCAAAGGTAAAAAAGAATCAAGGAACATGAAAAAAGTGCAAACGTCCACCTCTGACGACGGCAAGTATCCAACTGTCCAGACTTATGAAAAGCCCCTCGTATGCCTGCAAGATCTCCAGATATAAATATACCAGATTACATTTTATGTGTCTACTTGTAAGCAATGGTGTACTAAAACAGGTTTCACACATTACAGGACCTGAGGGAAACATTAGTGCAGAAGTTGCTTGAGAAACTGCAGCATTGTGCAAAGCGACTGTTAGACACTTTAAAAAACTAAGCTTTAACACGTTGCATTTCAATTGCAAAGCTTTAAATAGTATTCATGTCGAACGAAATTGGTTTTGGAGCAAAAATAGAAAATGAGACCATTTATATTGTTCCAATATTTCTGCGATAACCTTTACATGCCAGAGGGCTTAGAGAATAAAATTTCATGAGGGAAGTGTGAGATATGGATATTTTTGGAGTACAAGTTGCAATGAATGATAATCGCTGATGTAACAGTGCCTGTGTGCTACAGTCAGCTTTATTCTTTCTTTCCATTTCTGCACTTTTGGTTGCTTCCTTCTCATCTCCTGATGTATCCATTTCTCACGCCGGCAGTTTGATAAGTCATTCTCGGTATCAAGAAGCTCATAGGAAAAATCCATGAAAATTTGAGAATAAAAAGGGAACGCTTACAACAATTAACAGAAGAGTTATCCTATGCACACGATTGGTCTAGGAATGCACCCGTTGAAGCAGAGTTTTATTGAATGTACAGGAACTTGAATCTCCTTTTCTTGCATCTTCATTTCCTGATCTCTTCTTTTTCATATATGCAGAAATTTCTCCTTCATCCTTAGAATGGTTAGATCACTCGCAAGGTCTTTGAGAATTCTGATCCTGAAGTCGTTCTTCTGAGTCAGATTCCAGGAATTCTGCAAGACAAATTGGAATGAGGTGTCCATTATTCCATTAGCATCTCATTTTGGTACCAAAATCCAGGTTTATAATAAATTTAATTCAAAATGTTCAGCCTAAACACGTGAAGAGAAGGAAGTAATTGAAAGGAAAGCATGAGCTAAGAGTTTCTTCTACTGAAAGTGTTTTATCTGAATCTCAGGAGGTTAATTTGTTAGAATACAGACTTGATGGGAATGTTTTGCGCTATTCTAGGATTTTACCTGTAGAGGAAAGTCATGTGGCGATAGTAACTTCAACCAAGAGAAAGTACCTACTCAGGGCACACCAGGCACATCTTCAAGGAAGGGAAGGATAGTAACACGGGTTTGCACAGCCACTTTATAATCCTCTATTTTAGGGTATAGTCTCCTCATCTGAGGAATTTGATTAGCCGAAGCAAAAATGACTTCACAGCGGTTGCTTGCTTTCTCTTGGAAAGCAAGCCTGTTTTTGTCTTCCAAGTTCTTTCCAGAAGGACTGGAAAGGATGGTAGATAATAGACACCAAACTTCAGGCACCTGCCAGTTTGCTGTGTCGGAGTGGGTGCTACTTCTTCACCCTGTGGCAGAACTTGTTCCTCCCTGTGTAATTATCGAAGTACAGTATTACTCCAGTTGAGCATACCAGGAGTGACAATAAATTAACTACTAATTCTGTAAAAAAAAAATTCATCACTAACCTTTAGTAGATGTGGTCACCTTCAAAGTTCCCCTCCTTCTGACTTCTTACACACATCCCAACGTCTTTACCATGCCTGGAAACATTGCTGGAAATCATTTTCTGAAAGTCCTTTCAATACTGCCGTCACATTGCTTGGAATGTCTTCAATTGATTCAAAATGAAAGATGTCTTTCAAGGAGTTTTTCAGTTTTGGGAACAAAAAAAAGTCGCATGGGGCAAGACCAGGCGAGTACGGGGGATGTTCCAAAAGTGATATTTGTTTTTGGCCAAACATTGCCTTATTGGAAGAGCTGTGTAGGAAGGTGCAGTGTCATGATTCAAAATCCACTTGTCCGGCCAAAGATCCAGTCTTTTTCGTCGAATGCGCTGCCGTAAACGTTCCAAAACTTGAGGGTAGAATGTTTATTTGACTGTTGTGGAGGAACAAATTCGTAATGGACAATTAATATCGAAAACGCACGGAAATATTTAGGTGAAGGGAAAATTTTCCCTCAAGCACTGAGGATTTGGATTTCTGCTAGAATCATCCAACGTTCTTCTTCCTCCCGAGATCACAAGATAAAAAACATTGTTGATTCAACTCAACTTTCTTAATGCCGAAAAATAACAAAAATCTACTATCCTTATTCCAGAATGTTAATAACAGCTGCAGATAATACAATTTTAACCCCATATTACCTTGTTATGCATATGAATCTTTTCCTGGTGGAGGCCCGGTTCACACAGCTACCCCCATAATAAGTTCACGAAATAAAAAGGGGGAGGGGGAGGAGTTGGAGTTTAAAGGTTACCGGCGTAGGTCTGGCCGCTTTTCCGTTTGACAATGGTTCGGTTTCATTAAATGACAACTGTTGGTGGACAACGTTTAAAGGTTGAGTTGGAGGCTGAAGATTGAAAGTTTGTGAGAAATCAGGGGAACAACCAGGTTGAGGTTTCTTTGAGCTTGAGAACAATCAACAGGCAGATGAGGGGCGCGTTTGGAGATTCCAGCGAGAAGCAGCTTTGAGGCACGTCTAGGCCTAAGAGCAGGTTCATGTCGCATTTGACTTAGTCCCAGGACTGAGGCCGAAAGGCCAGGGTAGAAGCCATCTTAGGATCCTTTATCGGAAACGCGACCGCAAGGTCTCTAACCGTTCATATGCTTAGGCTTAACCGTTGCAAACTCACGCTTCCAAGAGGTCCTTGGAATAGGAGAGGGAGGGCACATAAAAGGGAGCACGAGACCCCTTTGGGCCTGGCGCTACAAGCATATTTTTCTGACTTTTAACAGGGTTGCCATGACCATAACGTCAAAGGGGACATTCCCCATTGAGTTCTCTACATTTCAACAAGTCTCAATGAACAAACAAAAAGGGAAACAAATTAGTATATATAAATATGCTCTCATGACAAATACCCCAATGACAACGATTGTCAATTTCATGGCAGTTCGAGTCTCGGTCTGGGGATATTATTATTGAAAACGAGGCTGGTCCTTCATGCACCTTCCTTTGTCGGCGGTCCCTCAATTCCGGTTCCGGAAATGCATCCAAGTGGAAGATTCACCGAGAATCGTGGACGTTTTCCACGATAAGTACGACAAAATGCAAAGGTTATTCAAACAGGAGGTTAAACAAATAGCGTGCGCGATCCTGACCGCTAGCTAGGCCGACTGTTTGTGTTTGTGTGTGTGTGTGTGTGTGCCTGTGTGACAGTTCTACAGGCCGAACGCTTCGAGGCATCAAGGAAGAGTTCTGTTGAAACTTCAAGTTATCATCCGAAGATGTGCATTCGAGAAGCGAAATTTGCAACTTTCACGGAAAATCGGAGATTCGCTCTCGTCTCGCCATCTCCCGGATGAATGAGGAAACCAGAGTTGCCGTGTTACTCGCAAGGGGACGGTAGCATCGCTCACTGCAGTGCCTCGTACCAGGAATCTTGGGATTTAAAGCGTTCAAGGTGAAAGACCAAGCGATTCGTCAGTTTGTCGCCACTTGCATTCACACGGCTCCGAAAAGAAGTCGATCACCACAGTTCCAAGGGGGTCCATCCCTCAAAATCTCGCAGAATTGATTATGACATGCTCTTTTGTCACTGATGACATCTTCAGTCCTTTGAAAGCGCTCATGAATAACGCAAGGAAGCCGACGAGCGCGAGAGTTCTTCAAAGGGTCCATTGTTTTCCCGTATCTTAGTCGGATTTATAGATGGCAAAATATTAAAAGTATAATCAATGGGGCCGGGAGCTTGGAGTAGAAGAAAGGTGATTTGGGAATCGTGATCGTGCCGTTTGTTGCATCTTCCCTGTCTTCCTTCATTCGTATGAGCTGATGTTGCGATGCTGGACATTGGTTTTTCTTGAGACTGGGGCTCACCCACATTTGGGTGGTTCATTTCCCGTGCTTTCGGTCTGTGCGTTCGACGAAATTGAGAAAGTGTGTTGTGGAATGCAGTGGGAAGCACTTTCGTTGGGGCTGGGCTCCACAGAGTATGCTGCTTTCAAATTACAAGCATGTGTAGAATATATTATTATTTTGCTTTAGGGGCACAAAGCTCCACTGAAGTGCTGGGATGCCACGTGAAATGAACTCTGACAAATGATGTCGTCGCGCTCAGTGATGCATTGGCGTTTTGGTTCTGGGATTTTACTCAATTCTCTTTCCTCGCCTTTGTTGACACAATGCTGCATTCACATGATCGGGTGAAAAAGATAATCACGGGTCAAATGAGACCTGCACACTTTATACATATGACAATGCCCAAGTAGCACGTGAACGCTCTCTAGAATGTTCAAATTATGTTCAAATAAGTTTTCGGACGCTTAATGCATAATACATATGTATACATACTACGTATATTATACGTGGTTGAGCACCTTTTGTTCGCTCTGTTAAGGTCCTGTGTCATCACGAAGCAGGCGGCATTTGAAGGACATTGGTTAAATGTTGAATTTGTTTTCCTCAAATATATCTATTGTATTCCTCTGACAATGGATTGAACATAAGGTTCGTACAACCGACGCTAGATGACGCCAACGTCGTTGCATATAGCGGGTCCATCCATGATACAGCCGGAATTATTTTCCAATACCTTCCACAGGGCAGCCGATCATGAACCAGAGGGGAAGATATTTGAATTGAATTCTTGGACAAATCGGTCTGAAGAGGTAACCAAGTCTAAGGAGTCTCCAGAAAACTCTTACTCGAAAGATGGTTGATGGTTCAATTTCGAAGGCCACTTCATGCGGGAGGAGTGTTAAACGGAAAAGATAAGAAATGTGTCATCGCTGTGAGAAGAAAACTTTGTGCAGGGCGTGTCTGACTCCTGAGTATGGGATAACTGCGGATATGATGAAGGTTTGCTTAAAATGACTATTGCCACACGTTTGTCCACCAGACTATCTCTTAAGAGGGAATGTCCAACAATAATCCATACTTCATAATCTTCTCAGACCCATAGCCACGGGAGCAAGGCTTTACTTAGACCGGATGCAACGGTAAGTGATGAGAATAAAATATCCAATTCGTTAATTGTATATTTGATGAATCCGGGAAAAGAAAGTTCATAGAACCCTTTTCTTTTCTTTGAAATATCCCATTCACGTCCTTGATGAATTCACGTCGTACAAGGAACTCCTAAATTGAACTGCTTTTTATTGCTCTAAATTTCGGATACAAAAGGAGTCTATTGAACGTTCCCATGGACTTTCATAGAATCTTGGCAGCACCTTGAATGAAACGTTCATTGAACATACTTTTAACGTTTGGGTGCTACTTTGGTGGAAGTCTGTGAAGATCATGGTGACTCCATTCGCAACACCAGTGTATTTTGTTTTCTTCGGTTTGTAGCAGGTTTACCTGCCGCTGGTTTTATATGCATGGCCAAATAGGGTAGTTTCTACAGTTATGCTGGAAAAAACGAAGGGAAGCTCGCAAGCTCAGACGCGCTGGTACAGGTAGTAATCAGGCGATCCACTTCATCCGATTAGATAAGAACGATGATTCATTCCTTAACCGTCCGCGTCGAGTGCTCGGGTGTCGTTGCCCCATTGTGCGTCTGCGCCTTCGCTTTTCTCCCCGATTTCGACGTGTGATCCATGGCCGACGGTGGGAAGCAGCGGTTGAACCGCGCCACGGAGTTCATCAGAGGCAGGTTCCCCGATCTCCGGACGGAGACTCGCGTCGTCCCGCCGATCAACGACGACACCGGGCGGATCGGGTCGTCCATCGTGTCCTTGTTGAACGAGTGGGCGAAGACCGCCAACGAGCCAGCGTTCATCGTCTACTGTCGCAACGTCCTACAACTGCTGCGAACCCGCTCGAACGGGGGACTCTACGAGAGATTGGAGGATCTACTCCAGACCGACGACGATGTCATCGTCGTGCATCGGCGCTGGGGCCTGTTTGCCATCGACGTCGGCCACATCGACGAGCAGCGGGAGGGAAGGGAACCCCCCGCGTTCCAATTCGTGGAGCAGAGGATTCAAAGCGCCAAGAATTCCTTCGAGCGTCTCAGGGACTCGCTCAAGGAGGCAGGGATCGAGAAGTGGAACGCCGTGAAGGACTGCCTCCCCATTCATTTCCCAATCGTGGCATTCCCCACAGTCCGGAGGGAAAACAAACCGCTCCGAAACGACCTGATCATCTTCAAAGAGGACTGCGAGTCTCCTGCTGCCTTTCAGACTTGGTGGAACCGACACATCGTCCAGTCGCGCGCAGGCAAGAAAGACCTGGACCTTCGACTTCACCTCACCCTTTTAGCCATGTGAGCCCTCATTCCTGCTTCAGATTTGGTTTAACTTGGTTAAAGCAATAGTTTGCTCTGGAATATTTAATTAACCAAATAAATTATGAGGAGAAAGATGAGACGCAGATCTTCCAGATTTGGGTTATTTCTCCATGCAATCCCCCCCCCCCCCCGCATCCGCATTTTCTCACCAATGAGTGATGAAGATGACAACCTCAAGAATGATGTGGGGCCCTCCCACATCATTCTCGCCGTCGATATCATCGACAGAGGCGCCGGGGCAGCTCGAGCGTTGGTCAACACCTCCGCATTTTCTCACCAATGAGTGATGAAGATGACAACCTCAAGAATGATGTGGGGCCCTCCCACATCATTCTCGCCGTCGATATCATCGACAGAGGCGCCGGGGCAGCTCGAGCGTTGGTCAACACCTCTCGAAACCCTGATTGATATGTTCCAGTCATCGGAAGATAGACGAGGCCTTCTGATCCTCACCAGGACTTTTCAAACCATTTGAGAGAGGGGTTTTTAGGAGGAAGCTTTCTACATGTGAAAAATAAAGTTCAGCAACTTTTTCATTCTCGGACTTCGAACTGTGATCTGAAATGCATTGGTTGGCGTGAAGATCGGTTCAATCGACTGAGTTACTTCAATTCTGATGCGTTTAATTTAATCCTTTTCAAACGCCGTTCACTCGATGGAGACTTTGCAATATGTCTTGTTTGGTAAAACTGGTACGATTCGATTTGCAGCCACCATAGCCCTGAATTCATTCATGATACATTTGTCAACACCATCATAGCAAAGCGGAACAGCTATCTGGAGAGTCATTTCATCCCGCTCTTTCCTCCTTAAACTTTGATATAGTTGTTGCTTTGATTGGAGATTTTGACGATTGCAATTTAAATTTTTTTTAAAGATTCGTAGCTCCTCTATACGCCACTCCAGTCTTGGGAAATGGTTCCCCGGGAGTTCAATTCCTCACCGACCGGGAACTAGCGTTTCTCGTCAACGAACCGACGATTTCCACGATAAGGGGATACTCGAAAGCCGAGCAGACGAAACTGCTGAAGGAGAAAGCGAGGAACATCGTGACGAAGCGGTCCTCCGGCGGGACGGGATTCGACGGGCGGGTCCTGGTGCACTGCCCAAGCGCGAGCGCCTCGGAGCGGCTCCGAGACGAACTGCCGTCGCAGATCGCGGACTCCGCCGCGGCGGTCTGCGTGACGGAGGAGCCACCGGAAAAAAACAGGCGTCGGGTCCGGGAATTCCTCGAGAAGAACCTCATCTTCAGCGCCCTACCCCCTTCCGAACTGTATAGAGAAAAAAAGTTCGACCACATCCTAGCCATTGCGCCCCCTGATCGCGATATTAGCCTCTATTTCGAAGAACTTCATCGCCTTTACCTGGGTCGCCCCGACGGATACTTTTGGCTGTTCGCGCAGGAAGACGATCCTACAGGTAAGATCTCCTCAGAATCATTGTTCCATGAACACAGAGCAAACCTCACTAGCTCGTTTTTTTTTACACAATTAATAATTATTACGCTCAAAATTGTAATCAAATGAACGTTGGCAACTATGAGCAGTGTAAGAAAAACAAGGAACAGTGAGATTTGTGGAGAACTTATTNCCGCATTTTCTCACCAATGAGTGATGAAGATGACAACCTCAAGAATGATGTGGGGCCCTCCCACATCATTCTCGCCGTCGATATCATCGACAGAGGCGCCGGGGCAGCTCGAGCGTTGGTCAACACCTCTCGAAACCCTGATTGATATGTTCCAGTCATCGGAAGATAGACGAGGCCTTCTGATCCTCACCAGGACTTTTCAAACCATTTGAGAGAGGGGTTTTTAGGAGGAAGCTTTCTACATGTGAAAAATAAAGTTCAGCAACTTTTTCATTCTCGGACTTCGAACTGTGATCTGAAATGCATTGGTTGGTGTGAAGATCGGTTCAATCGACTTAGTTACTTCAATTCTGATGTGTTTAATTTAACCCTTTTCAAACGCCGTTCACTCGATGGAGACTTTGCAATACGTCTGGTTTGGTAAAACAGGTACGATTCGATTTGCAGCCACCATAGCCCTGAATTCATTCATGATACACTTGTCAACACCATCATAGCAAGGCGGAACAGCTATCTGGAGAGTCATTTCATCCCGCTCTTTCCTCCTTAAACTTTGATATAGTTGTTGCTTTGATTGGAGATTTTGACGATTGCAATTTAAATTTTTTTTAAAAGATTCGTAGCTCCTCTATACGCCACTCCAGTCTTGGGAAATGGTTCCCCGGGAGTTCAATTCCTCACCGACCGGGAACTAGCGTTTCTCGTCAATGAACCGACGATTTCCACGATAAGGGGATACTCGAAAGCCGAGCAGACGAAACTGCTGAAGGAGAAAGCGAGGAACATCGTGACGAAGCGGTCCTCCGGCGGGACGGGATTCGACGGGCGGGTCCTGGTGCACTGCCCAAGCGCGACCGCCTCGGAGCGGCTCCGAGACGAACTGCCGTCGCAGATCGCGGACTCCGCCGCGGCGGTCTGCGCGACGGAGGAGCCACCGGAAAAAAACAGGCGTCGGGTCCGGGAATTCCTCGAGAAGAACCTCATCTTCAGCGCCCTACCCCCTTCCGAACTGTACAGAGAAAAAAAGTTCGACCACATCCTAGCCATTGCGCCCCCTGATCGCGATATTAGCCTCTATTTCGAAGAACTTCATCGCCTTTACCTGGGTCGCCCCGACGGATACTTTTGGCTGTTCGCGCAGGAAGACGATCCTACAGGTAAGATCTCCTCAGAATCATTGTTCCATGAACACAGAGCAAACCTCACTAGCTCGTTTTTTTTTACACAATTAATAATTATTACGCTCAAAATTGTAATCAAATGAACGTTGGCAACTATGAGCAGTGTAAGAAAAACAAGGAACAGTGAGATTTGTGGAGAACTTATTTCTTGACATCATTGTGTACAGTATTTCCAGGAACCTCAGACGGCCGCCAGGTAATACCAGCCTATCGAAGGCATTATGCATTTTGTAGAAAACATTATGCATGAGAAGTTAGTTTCGTGAAGAGTAAGTAATGAAGACAATTGAATCATTCATTATTTTTGAAAAACCTAGAAATTCCATAACAATCGTGAATAATACCAATTTTACCAATTTCAAACGTATTTTGAAATCGTGAGTTTCTGCGGCAGATCATGAGAGACCGACATCCATTCATCCGTTCATTTTCTAGTTGCAAACAGCACAGAAAGCGAGAACCATGTAGCAGAGTCAATCTGGCTGCGCCAGGCTGAAGAAGTGATAAGGGGAAAATATCCTGGTTGGCAAACCGAGCGGATAACTCGGTTGGTTCCACTTGTTGAAGACAGAGAGGCATGGATCAGGTCGGCCAGAAATACGGGAACTCGAGCAGAGAGAAAGCTCATTCATCGTCTTTGTCAGCTTGGAGAACGAAGGAACCTTCCCATGTTCATCACGTACAACAACGATTTCGTCCATCTCATCAAGACGAGGAACAGCGAAACCGAGGGGAAGTTGGAAGCGGGAGAGCACGACATCGTCCTGATACATCGCGACCTCGGCATCATCTTCCTTCAGATCAAGTACGTGGAGTCTGAGGAAACCGGACAAGCACCGCAACGTGCAATCAACAGGAACCTTCAGCGCGCCAAAGAACAGCTGAAGAAAGACGGTCGCAGCCTCGAAGCCACAATGAGGGAATGCGGCCTGGACGACATGCGTGTGAAACTCTTCGTCGCGGCGCTCCCGAACGTCCAGAGAGATCAGCTGACGGAGGAATCGTGTGACACCGTCTTCCTCTGCGAGGAAGATTGTTCCTCGGTGGATGCCATGGAGAGTTGGTGGCTCGCGCGAGTCGAGTCCAAGCATCCGCAGAACTCCACTATGCCTCCAAACACTTACCTTCAGCTTCTATCAATGTAAGTTTCTTTCTAATCTATATGTTGCAATGGATGCTTCAACAAATGGAATATTATTTAAAATATCGAATACATCTGCAAATTGGCTGCATGTGTGTCATGGAAATGTTCCGGAAGGTTTGACATGAGTGTCCATTTTTGCAGCATCATCAAGAGGGTTAATCTTTACAGCAGATATCTTACAGATTTATGAACTACGAGAATACCTTTGAGTAAGAATCTGTTCGGAATGAACTCGGACGATGTGAATCGTAAATGCGCATGTCTGTAGCCCTTGCTCATCTCTAAACTCCAGTTTGGCAAAGTTCCCGAAGTTGCAAATGTCTCCACTTCCGCGAAATTTCAATTTTATCATTTCGGTACCTTCGGAGGTGTACATTAGTGCGGAGACCATCTTGTTACTCGTCTAAAGGGATACAGCTGAACCTAAAGCGAAGCACTGATCCAGACGGTTGAGGTCTGCTTCGTGGTGCGATTCTGACTCTAGGACCGCTTTGGCTCTGGAAGTACCAAAAGCTCCACGACCTTCATTCTGACCGCAGCGGCTGGTCGCATTCGACCTACACGTGCAGCGACCCGATATCGTTGCTGCTGATCTCGGTGTCGTGAAGGTGGGAAGGGCGGGGGACAGTGTAAGTGCATTTCACCGAAAGACGATTGTGAAGCATAACCGCCCTTTTTGGTTTCAGAGAAATGTCACTCAATTCATCAGAAACGATGATGATGATTGATTGTGTGGTCAATAATTCTTTCATAACTCTTCCATGACTTTCATTGCTATGATGCACGGCTAGAACCAATGCCTGATGCGATCATAATGACGGTCGGATTCCCTTTTTTCCTTAGATATATAGCTCCTGTGGGCGTAAGTTCGGCCTCCGGCGGCCAGCAACCTGCAGAGTCGCAATTTCCCGTTATCGATGAGTTGGACGCGCTGGAGAAGGGGCCAACATATTTTCAGTAAGTTAAAACCTCGCCTTTCCTACTCAAACGAATTTTCATGGCTCATTCTCATGTCTAAAGCAGATGATATAAGCAAAAGAGACTTCCTTGACTACAAGCACATTTGTGAAATATGAAATGCTCTGCTTTTGATGTTGCACTGAACTTACTCAAACTTGTAATTTACTCTAAATTTCGAGTGTTCACGAACGGATAAATGAGGCAGGGGAATCTTCCCATCGTCATCGAGTAAATGGACTCCTTTGCAGGGAAGTGAACAAGCGTTTGAGAGAGAAATGGGACCAGCTCACGAAGTACCTGGACGAGGAAGACATCTCGGCGAAGCTCATCTCGAAGGGGATCCTCTCCATGGATTGGGGCAAGGGATTGACGCGCCAGCGCGAGCGCAGGGCAGCCATCCTCCAAGCCGCCCGGGGGAAGGGCCCAGACGGTCTCGAGGGTTTCCTCCAGGCCCTCAAGGAGATCGGGCAGTGGCACTTGCTGCAAGATGCGGCACAGTCGTTGCTGCCCGGAGAGGTCGATGCCCGTCTCAGGGGGCATTGGGATCGGCTCTTGGAGTTACTCGACGTCGAATGCATCCCGGCGAAACTCATTTCGAAGTTCGTGCTTTCTACGGACTGGAGCGAAGGAATCAGTCGGCAGCGTGACCAGAGGAAGGCCATCCTCAAGACTGTGCTCTCCAGAGGCCCGGCCGGTTACCAGGCTTTTTGCGACGCCCTTGCCGAGTGTGGGCAGGAATGGCTCTTAATGGATAAGTGACTTCCGGCTTAATGCATTTGTAGCTTCTTGCGGATGGAGTTCGCTGTTTTGTGTCGCCACGAACTTGAAATCGAATAACTCGTTCTGATGTTTTCGACGCTTGTTCTCCCTAATGATCTCAATTTCTTCTCATCGTGTCATCATTTGATGAAGATCAAATTATGTTTCACGTTTTTTCACTGCATCGCCACATTTTGTTTCGTTGTCATTAACAAAAAAAATTGTTTCAGTAGACGAACCGATTCAGAAAATTTCACCATTTTGGGCGTAATAGTGTTTTAAAACGCGAATGCCACAAATGTAACTATTCCACATGAAACAAGTGATTGTTGAGTAAAGACATTCCAAAAACTTTCTTGATATTCTCCTCTTTTCCAATTTCCATTCAAAGTCCTGATGTTGTTTACACTATTAAGAAAAAAAACGTTTAAAATTGCGCCTTAACACTTGCGACGCCGATCCCGTCATTGTTTTTCCCAACTTCCAGGGTTTTCACCATGCGAACAATTTATTGGTATATCGGTCCACCATATAAACCTTGACTGCTTTCATGTAGACCGCTACGAAGCCGAGAGGGAGGAAAATATTGATACGTTCGAGAACTTTCGAAGCAAATTGCGTCCTTGAATCTCCGGACAACGAATCGTCGGAATCATCAAGGAAGCTGCTGCAAAAATGGAATGACTTCAGAGTTTATAAATAGAAATTGAACCTATCAGCCGCTGGCATTTGCTTATTTTTATGGTATTTCACCTCCATCGTTCATAAGAGGGTGCGATGCCGAATGGTCGTTGCCATGGACAATCTTGAAGACTCGCATGCTTTTTTCTGGACCAAAAATAATTGCATCCACATATTCCTGGCATTAAATTATTCGCTTCAGAAATACTGGATCCAGATGTCCACGTCCTTCGACGAAAAATACGTCGCGTTGCACAGCAGAAATAATGCGAAATAACGAAGTTCAGTAAGCATTAACCCGAAGCAGCACGTATGTGGTGGGCCACCACCCACCTTTGGGGAAGGAAGCTGGTGGTCCACCAGGTACTAATCCTAATTGCCAGCACCGGTCCGCCACCATCCACCTTCCGTCACCACTAGAGGGCCAGCACATCATCAGTCCGTTCGTTTGCGGTGAACCACCACTTGTAAGAGGCATAACGCCCCTATGCATACCCGATTCACCTCTAAAACTTGAAGCTATGGCCCACTCAGGAGTCAACCCAAGATTATCAAGGTGACCCACTGCTCTCTTTCGCATTCAATACAAAACCTGAGAGAATGAGCATGAGTCTAGAGGTACCGTGTTACGCCACATAGAGTACTATTACAATATATGGGATGAGGTAACATCAGTACCCTACCCTTCCCTAGTGCCGTACAGTTCTGTATCCCCATACTTGACCTCAGCATTTAATAATTCCCCGAGTCTTATATTGCAATCAGAACTTCATAATTCCACGCTTTCCTTCTGTATGTTTATAAATTGCACAATAAAAAGAGAAAAGTCGGTGAAGAAAAACTTTTGCTAAATCAGGAATGAAGGTACCTAATTGAATGTATAGGGTGAAGGGAACATGGGTACCATGTAGTGGAGATTCCTGGTACTGCACCTGAGGAAGTGCCAGCTACATTATGGGAAGGTAGCTGGTGACCCTCCACATACAGGACATAGCAGGCCAGCAACTGGATGTCCCACTTCCCGCCACGTTTCCTCCCCCGGCAGAAATCCGTCAGTCTGGGCCACCCACGGCCCAATACTTACGTGTTGATGGGACCCTTCTCAAAAACTTAATTGAACGCAATAATCCACGGTTGTACTCTGCTACCCCTCCCCGCCCTTTCTCAATCTTCATTTGAATTTAGTGCAGACGATTGTTCATTGCGCTGTGGCTTTGAAGAGGGGAGCCCCAGGGTTCGAACCGATTAAAATAATTATTTCGAGGTGAATGTACCGACGGAGGATGTTCAGCAGGAGTGAACTTCTCACTCACCGCTGGATGCCGCTTGAACCGTTGAATGCCGCTTTAATTCTTCGCTTTAGTTTCGGTAAGCATCAGCTGCAGCGTAGTGTCCCCCGAATACATCTACAGAAAATGTATATGATATGTAGTTACGATGGGATCATACCATGCATGGGATAATCTCGGGCAAAGATGTTGCCTCCCACAAGATACAACAGGGGTCGGAAAAGATTCATTGTGGTGTTCTCAATCGGGAATGGAACCGCGGAGGGTGTTCACATATTAGTTTCATGAGTTCTCAATAGAGGATGAGCCTTTCTTGAAAGAAGAAAGACCTTTGATGCGGGCAGAAACCCGACTTGCTTACCTTCTTATAACAGGCGTCCCAAGTGGAGGAGGGGTTGGAAGCTCCCAACTGTCAATCAAGTGTTCACTGACGCAAATCACTGTTCTCTGCGGTCTTCTTTCTAATACTCGTTCTTTCCTCTTCTCCCCAACACAATCCTATCAATAATTTCCGTATATCCCACTGCTGCAATATATGTACTGTCCATCACGCAAAGGAAATCATTCGCTGAAAATTGAAGAATCGTCTCAGATCGATTACGGAGGAAAAATCAATTTCTTCTCTCATGGTGGTTCATCAGAAACCAGAAATCTTGTTTGCTTTAAATAATGTCTAGAGAAGGAGTCATTCTTTATATCAGGTGCTAAGCAATAGGAACGTCTGCATGAGGATATGTGACAAGAGGAAAGAATTTGTATACAAGGGAATTTTCACTGTTTTGGGGGGTTCAGGTGAATGCGTCACATCTCCTTGTCTCTTGTTCAATGAATGGAAAACTTACTGCGACAATTTCGCCGATGGGTGAACGAAGCGGAACGGTGGGGGCTTACTTCTCGTCCGGAGGTAGATGATGCATTTTGACCAGAGCTGGAAACGAATTTTTTTTTGGGGGGGAGGGGGCTGAGGCTGTTCATCGACTAAGAACAGTCTTAACCAGGTTCCGGCTGCCAAAACTTGATCTACAGTTCACGATGCAACATATATCCATCAAAGGGATGCTGAGGCACAGTGTGATATATCAGCCAATATGTTTACATCAATAACGCACAAAAATACAGGGTGACCGGAAAGTTCGGAGACACTCAAAAAAACCAATATCCCGATGGCCATTAAGAACAATAAATGTTTTATTTTAATTTCATTAGAAAGAACATAAGAAAACCTTCAAAATGAGTTAAACATCTTCGAAATAGCCCCCATTGGCAGCAATAACTTTTCTGAGGCGTTTTGGAAAATTGTCCCCAGTTTCTCGCAGCTGTTTCACAGGGATTTCGTCCCAGGCTTTCAGCAAAGTTGACTTGAGGCTGTCCAAATTTTTCGGCTGAGTAGCACAGACCTTTGCCTCCAAAAAGGACCAGATACTAT